AATCTCTTTTCCTGTCCTCCAACATTCCATTTTCCGTTCTTGAGTTCGGAGTAGAGCAGCTGCTTTGGGAGAAGGTGGTTGGGCATCCGGACAACATGGCCGGTCCAGTGGAGTTGGTGGCGGAGGACCATCGCTTCAGTGCTGGTGGTCTTTGCTTCTTCCAGCACGCTGACGTTTGTCCGCTTGTCTTCCCAAGAGATTTGCAGGATTTTCCGGAGGCAGCGCTGATGGAATCGTTCCAGGAGTTGCATGTGACGTCTGTAGACAGTCCACGTCTCACAGGCATAGAGCAGGGTTGGGAGGACAATAGCTTTATAAACAAGCACCTTGGTATCCCTACGGATGTCCCGGTCCTCAAACACTCTCTGCTTCATTCGGAAAAATGCTGCGCTTGCAGAGCTCAGGCGGTGTTGTATTTCGGTGTCGATGTTGACTTTGGTGGTGGTGATATCAGACATGCCCCAACGCTGGCAGTCTTTAGGAGGAGCCTGAAAACATGGTTGTTCCAGTGTGCCTTCCCAGAATAAGGAAAACTCTTAGCAATATGTCCTCAAATGTACTTTAATACTGACTTAGGATTGTCTGCGCGCCCTCATCTTTCTCTGAAAACCCATTTCTAATTTGCCTTACCTTGTTCATGCCCAGCACTTTTTGATTTTAAATTTGAATTATTACATTTGGCCCTGCCATAGGTTTTTATTGTATGTTATTGTTATTGTTTATTGCTTATTGTGTATTTTCTGTTTTTGAGTTTATTTGAACTGTTTTGTATTGATGATTGTTATTGCTTTTGTTTATTGATGTGCTGTGGGCTCGGCCTCATGTAAGCCACACCGAGTCCCTTGGGGAGATGGTAGAAGGGTACAAATAAAGTGTTATTATTATTATTATTATTATTATTATTATTATTATTACACAGTACCACATAGTTAAACAGGAAATAACAATTTTGAACCGGAAACAATGTTTTTTTTAAAAAAATACTGTTACATAGTATTATTATTTTTAACTGTAGTCTTATGGGTGTTCACTGTTCAGCATAGGAGAGGTGTGCAGGCTTCAGTTTGCAAAACCTTGTTTGGTAATCTCCGTTTTAGCAGTGTTATTAAACATAGCTTAATTTTTTTCCCACCCAATTATTTTACAGATAAAATTGGCAATAATTTCTACGCTCTATCTCAGCTTGATTTGCTGGGAATCTTCATCCCAGAGCTTCAAAAGCATTTCATATGTGACAAGTCACTGCCATCACTTGAAAATTAATGGATGAAAGTTTGTTTCTATATCAGAAATGTAGTGCTAGCAGAGATCATCAATTTGTTTGGTTGATATTGAGCTCAAGGGTCTCTTACTAAGCAAAGCAGGTTTTACTGTATTAAGCTGGGTGCCAGAATCATCCAAAACCATTGAAGTAGAAATTGCAATAAAAATTGCTATCAATCACACTTCTGAAGAGCACTTGATGTTTCATCAGATTTTTCTACCTGTTCCCCTTTATTCCAGTTGTCTAACTTGAAATGTATGCTTAAACACTGGAAAATAATGCAAGCGTCTTGGAGATTTGAGCGTGATTTGAACCTTTCTGTCTAAACAGTTTTCATACTGCTGTTGCTCACCTCTTCATTTCCCTCTTCACCCGTAACCTAGTTTACGGGACAGGGGCTGTGAGATGGGATGACAACTTGTGTGTGCCAGCTAAGATTTATGTGCAGAGCACATAAGGGTGCATTATGTTGGTGTTGCTATCCATCATGGTCACAGTAGTCTGAAGCAAAATAACTTTTGTGGCAGGAGTTTGGAAACTATGTTATAGGAATTGAATCTTAGGGCAGTGGTTGGTTTCAGGAAAAGATTAGTTAGGATACGTGTTTCCTGGTTTAAATTCTTCTCAGGTGGTTAATGAGAGACTGGGTCAATGTGCCATCTGGCATGTGTTCTTTGGCTTAGTTGAGTTCCTCCTTCTGAAAAGACTTCCAATTAATATGTTTATCAATTGGATACCAACTGAGTCCATTTTTGAGAATGTACTTACAGGAATGTACTTTTTTTCTGACTGAAAGGTCGCAGGTTCGAATCCGGGAAGGGGCATGAGCTCCCGCTGTTAGCCCCAGCTTCTGTCACCTCTGAGCTGAGAGGAGCGGTATATAAATATGGTAAATAAATTCTGCCAACCTAGCAGTTCAAAAACATATGAGTAGATCAGTAGGTACCACTCCAGCTGGAAGGTAATGGCACTCCATGCAGCCATGGCACCCACATGACCTTGGCGGTGTCTATGGACAACGCCGGCTCTTAGGCTTAGAAATGGAAATGAGCACCAACCCACAGAGTCTGACACAATTGGATTTAATGTCAGGGGAAAACCTTTAGCTTTTACTTACAGGGAAAATGCTACCTAGCCTTCTACTAAACGTTTCCATAAAAACAAGTAAACTGCAGATCTTTCAAGTGACTCCAATAAATCCTCTCCTTTTAATTATTTTTTCCTGATTTTTTTACTCAGTGAATGAAGGCAATTATGATTATGTCTGTATGGATATCGGGGAAGGTATATGTGGGGAAAGTGCAGTGTTATCAAGGTTGCCTCTTAGGACCTTATCACACAGATTGTGACAAATCCAGTGGAGCCCGGCAGTTAGTATGAGAAAACTATTGCTCCACATCCCCTGCCTTCCCCCTAACCTTATCCCATTGGGGGTCGGGGAGGGAACCATGACTGCCCAACTTCTCACTGTTGTTTTCAATGCAATACGGAAAGCCTCCTGTGTTGCCGCTGCCGCCTGCACACATGGAGCTTTGCCGGATGTAGATCAGCATTGAATGATGGAAGCAGGTGAGCTCCATCCCTGAAAAGGGGTGAAATTGGTGTAGGATGGGAAATTTTGCCCATCTGTTGAGGTGGTAGTTAGACAGCAGTCTGATGAGCCAGAAGCTAGGAGTCAGAATTTAAGAAGCAACCCAAGCAGGAAGCTAGAACTCAGGACCAAAGAGCAACCAAGGCAGCAGAAATATATATCTACTCAATGGGGCCTTGTTGACAGTAGACCAAATTAAAATGTAAATGCCTCTTATATTCCTTCTCATCAGAAAGATCCAGCTGTCTTCCTGGATATAGTCAATCCATTGTCTGATGTTACTTCACTCCAAAACTGCCACATAGTCCAATGGTAGGAAAGGGGTATTGTATTATTATTATTATTATTATTATTATTATTATTATTATTACATTGATAATAATATTGTAATGTAATAAAATATTATACTAATATAATACTAACATTAATACAATATAATTCAATATTATATATTACATGTAATATTACTAATAATATTGCAGTATAGTGGTATAGTACAATATAGTAATACTAATATTGTGCTATGCTAATAATATAATATATTGCATCTACATATAATATTTATCATAATATTGTAATACAGTATAATAATATCACTGTATAATAATATAATAATTATATATTATATATTACATGTAATATTACTAATAAAATTGCAGTATAGTGGCATAGTGCAATATAGTAATATATAATACTAATGTTGTGCTATGCTAATAATGTAATATATTGCATGTACATATAATATTGATCATAATATTGTAATACAATATAATACTAATATCACAATATAATAATATAATAATTATATATTGCATGTAATATTACTAATAATATTGCAGTATAGTGGTATAGTACAATATTGTTGTTGTTCATTCGTTCAGTTGTCTCTGACTCTTCGTGACCTCATGGATCAGCCCACGCCAGAGCGCCCTGTCGGCCATCACCACCCCCAGCTCCTTCAAGGTCAGTACAGTCGCTTCAAGGATGCCATCCATCCATCTTGCCCTTGGTCGGCCCCTCTTCCTTTTACCTTCCACTTTCCCCAGCATAATTGTCTTCTCTAGGCTTTGCTGTTTCCTCATGATGTGGCCAAAGTATTTCAACTTTGTCTCTAGTATCCTTCCCTCCAATGAGCAGTCGGGCTTTATTTCCTGGAGGATGGACTGGTTGGATCTTCTCACAGTCCAAGGCACTCTCAGAACCCTCCTCCATCACCACAGTTCAAAAGCATCTATCTTCCTTCACTCAGCCTTCCCTAAGGTCCAGCTCTCACATCCGTAGGTTACTACAGGGAATACCATGGCTTTGACTATGCGGATCTTCGTTATAATACTAATATTATGCTATGCTATTAATATAATATATTGTATGTACATGTCACTCATATAACTGAGTCTCCTTTGGGTTGAGAAGAGTGAGATATAAATGTCATAAATAAGTAAATAAATAAATAAATAAAAATAAGGGGGTGGATATAAATTTCAACCAGGAGAAAACTAATCTGAATTTGAATTTTATCAAAAATCCGAATACTTGTTTCCTGGCCTTGGAATGAGTGAAGTGATTAATTGTTAAGTAATTGATTCAGTCCATTTTTCTCACAATTTCACTGAACTCAGTAGATTTCCTGATTAAGGTTGACATTTTGAAAAAATCTTTAGTGTATTAGGTTGTTAAGGAGTTGTTAGAATTTATTATGGTGGGTGCCTCTTCCTCTGTCAAATTCAGTTAAACAGGAATATAAGCTGCCTCAGGAGAAGTGTTAGGACTGGAGGAAATGAATCACAGGGCACTTTTGTTAGGTAGACTAGAAGGAAAACTTTCTGAAGCCCAAGTTAGAACTGAAGACTCAAAAAACACTCAAAGAACAGAATTCAAAAAATGAGTCTTGGAGCAGAATGGGATCGTAGGGGAAAGATGTAGTTGAAAACCAAAGACCAAATGTAGTCTAGCCAGGGTCTTTTCAGAAAGCCAGTCCATCTTCTAACCTTTCCATGTTGCCTTTTAAAAATACTCCCATCCTTTAAAAAAATAATTATAAGGTAAGATGGATGCAGAGAATAGTGGCCTTGTCATATATCTCAGCATCTGAACTGTAGATGACAAAATTTGGAATTCCTGGATCCTGCATGTAAATGATTTGCTTCGCCATTGATTTGAGGACTCCACCATGTGATTGCAAATGAGCAGGCAGAAGGGATGCATTGATTGATTTCTGCAGAAAAATATTCTGCATATGCTTAGAGGCTCTCAAAATATTCTTCGTTGTTGATTCACTGCCTGATCTTTGAACGTATCGGCTTCTTGCTGCATTTATAGTGTATCAGTATTCTCTAACATTATTCCTTCTTCATCTTTAATAAACAATTCATTTAAATAATGAGAGAAGGTAAATCAGATATTCAGTCCGAGAATAAATCAGTATCCTATAACTGAAATACATTATTCCTTTTTCATCTTTAATAAACAATGCATTTCAAGAATGAGTGATTATAAATTACAAACTTAACTGAAGAGCATGTAATATGAGATCCCATGTTCTAGGACAGGGGTCCTCAAACTTTTTAAACAGAGGGCCAGGTCACAGTCCCTCAAACTGTTGGAGGGCCGGATTATAATTTGAAAAAAAAAAACATGAATTCCTATGCACACTGCACATATTTTATTTGTAGTGCAAAACAAACTTTAAAACAATACAATAAATAAAATGAAGAATAATTTTAACAAATATAAACATTAGTATTTCAATGGGAAGTGTGGGCCTGCTTTTGGCTGATGAGATAGGATTGTTGTTGTTGTTGTTGTTGTTGTTGTTGTTGTGTGCTTTCAAGTTGCTTCAGACTTAGGTTGACCCTGAACAAGGGCCAGATAAATTACCTTGGAGGGCCGTATCTGGCCCCCGGGCCTTAGTTTGAGGACCCCTGTTCTAGGACAAGCATTCCAACATGACAGTGGCCACAAATAATTAAATGTAACATTTTTAGCCAGTCCATTCCTTCAAATCCTGCCCTATAACTAGAGCTTTGTTTTTGAAAAGGAAATATTTATTAGATTACATTTTAAATAAAGGGGGGGGGCTCGTGGTTTTCTAACTCAGATTAAACTCAATTTCAACTTGTTGTCCACAAGGACTCCAAGATCTTTCTCACATGGACTGTTGTCGAGCCAGTGTCATCCATCCTGTATCTTTGCATTTTATTTTTTCTACCTAAATGTCGTATTTTAGGTTTTTCTAAGACGGAACAATGATATCATAGCACTTTGTCCTCCAAAACACTTTACATTTCTTTAGGTCTGCTAGTACGCCTTTACAAACACCTTATCTCCTTTCGTCCATGTCAATTTTAACTTTACATTTGGCCTTCCCACTGTTTTTAATTGTGTGTTGTCTTAGTGATAATGTTGTATATTTTATTGCCTATGTTTTATGTTTTATTTTTTATTGTATTGTTGTTTATCGTCTATATTGTTGTATTTGGGCTCGGCAAGTTTTCCGGGCTGTATGGCCATTTTCCAGAAGAATTCTCTCCTGACATTTCATGCATATCTATGACAGGTATCCTCATAGGTTTCTTGTGTGGTCACAAAACCTCTGAGGATGCCTGCCATAGATGTGGGTGAAACACCAGGAGAGAATGCTTCTGGAACATGGCCATACAGCCTGGAAAACTCACAGCAACTCTGTGCAAAATAGCTTCTCAGTGACTACTGATTGTGCACTTTTGTGTGCGAATCATGTGCTCTTTACAGATTATAAACAAATGATAAAATCAATAATATTTTCTTAAAGTTTTCCTCTTAATTGAGCTTATGATGTTATGCGTGATGATATATTGCCATTGGTCTCAATTTGTCATAGTAAATAAAATGTGGGAAGATTTTTCCCGAGTGGCATCTACCAGTATTTGTGTTGCCATCTGTCTTTGTTTGTGTACACACTTCAAGTTTTATATGCGTATATGGTTGATTTATTTTATTTTTGCAGTGATTGTAGTTATAGGACTGGTGCTTTTTGGCCTAATGAAGTGTCCTTCTCTGCCAAATGAACGAAATACAAATGCAGGACTGAATAGAGCTACATGATTTTCTTATAATCTCACTTTCGACTTACTCTATTTTGATTAAGATTGATTCCCTCTCTTTGGTAGGCTAATCTTGCCCAACTCTTGAGTGACACTCGGGATCGAAACAAGCATCTGGGAGAAGAAATCAAAGAACTTCAGCAGAGGTTGGGAGAAGTACAAGGTGACAACAAGGTACGGTACAAGCTGCATTCCAAAGCAACTGAATTATAACTTTTCATGAAGACTTGGTCTTGTATTTAACTTGCTAAGTGGCAGTTAAAATAGGTTCTGCTTGCAATATCCTAGATCATTATTGATCTTCATTTAGCTTAAAGATATCCAAGTGTTTTGCTTCCTTCTAAAGTTTTGCTTCCTTCTAAAGTTAAGCCTTTGATTCTGAAGGACAGGAGGGAGGGGGCCAATCTGATCTCACCAGGAAGGGAGTTCCATAGCCAGGGGGCAATCACTGAGAAGGCCCTGTCTCTCATCCCCAACAATCACGCCTGTGACAATGACGGGACAGAGAGCAGGGCCTCCCAGATGATCTTAATCTTCACAATGGTTCATAGGGGGAGATGCGTTTTGGGGCAGGGCCATTTAGGGCTTTATAGGCCAAAGCCAGCACTTTGAATTGTGCCCGTAGCAAACTGGCAGCCAGTGGAGCTGGTGTAACATGGGAGTTGTATGCTCCCTGTATGCCGCCCCAGTTATTAACCTGGCTGCCTCTCGTTGGACTATTTGAAGCTTCCGAGCAGTCTTCAAAGGCAACCCCACGTAGAGAGTGTTGCAGTAGTCCATTCTAGATGTAACGAGAGCGGGACCACCGTGGCCAAGTCTGACTTCCCAAGGTACGGGCAGCTGGTGCACAAGTTTTAATTGTGCGAACTCCCCCCTCCACCGCTGTAACCTGGGATTCCAGGCTCAGTGATGAATCCAGGAGAATTCCCAAGCTGCGAACCTGCGCCTTCAAGGGGAGTGTAACCCCGCCCAGAGTTGTGACCCTATACCCTGTTCAGTCTTGCGACTGACCAGGAGGACCTCTGTCTTGTCTGGATTCAACTTCAATTTGTTCCCTCATCCAGACCGTCACAGCGGGCAAGGGCATCGGTTCAGGACTTGGACAGCCTGATAGAGTTGGGTGTCATCGGACTCCAAAACTCCGGATGATCTCAATAGGTGATCTGTGGTTTGTTCTTCTTAACACTCACATGTCATGGACTCTACTTTGTAGCCCCATTTGTTAAGGTTGGCTCTGCATCTCATGGTGCCAAAGCACAGTCTGTTCAGCACCTCCCAAGTCGCCCAGTTCTTCTGTGTGCCCAGGAGGGAGTCTCTGATACCTGCCAGTTTTGACTCTTGCTTGCTTAGGTGCAACGGCTCGGCTCTTCAGCTTAGAAATGGAGATGAGCACCACACCACAGTCGGACACGACTAGACTTAACGTCAAGGGGAAATCTTTACCTTTAACTATATATAGTATTGCAATATATATTACTATATGTGTTGTTATTTTATATATATATATATATATATTTATATACACACACACACACATATAGAGAGAGGGAGGGGGAGAGTCTCTGAGTTACAAACATCCCCCTTACAAATGACTCCTAGTTAAGAAAGGGGTTGGGCTGGATAGCTTTTTGAGGTCCCTTCCAATTTTTATTATATTTTGTATCAAAAGCATTGCATAAATTAGTATAAAACTGATATGAATAGAAGGACGACAAGCGGCTAAATATCTTCTGACCAAAAATGGGCAACAGCAACGGCATTATCTGTAGCCTCCAACAATTCTTCCTCTGGACATGAGGCAGGGCATAGTGGACAAGCACAAAAAACGAAATGCAAAGATACAGAATGCAGAGTTTGGAAAGCTCTGGGTCTCAGGGCACAGAGGGAACAGGGAACCGTGAGCGCAGAATGATTTGCAAACCCGGGAGTGTGTTTAAGGCGTGCCTTTCTTCCCCTGGGTTTTCCTTGCAGGCAGCTGCTGAAGGACCCGCAGGTGCTGTTTGCGGGCTACAAGGTCCCCCACCCGCTGGAGCACAAGATCATCATCCGGGTGCAGACCACCCCCGACTACAGCCCCCAGGAGGCCTTCACCAACGCCATCACCGACCTCATCAGCGAGCTCTCCCTCCTCGAGGAGCGCTTCCGCGTAAGGGTTGGATTGGGTGGCCTTTGGGGGGTCCTTCCAAGTCTATGATATTATATTTATTTAATATATATAGATATATTATACACACCATCCCCAGGTTACAAACATCCCATTTACAAAGGACTCTTAGTTTTAAAAGGGCTGGACTAGATGGCCTTTGGAGGTTGGACTGGATGGCTTTTGGAGGTTCCTTCCAATTTTTTAAATTATTTTGTATCAAAAGCATTGCATAAATGAGTATAAAACTGATATAAATAGAAGGAGCACAAGCGGCTAAATATCTTCTGACCAAAAATGGGCAACGGCATTGTCTGTAGCCTCCAACAATTCTTCCTCTGTACATGAGGCAGGGCATTGTGGACAAGCATACAGATGCGGAGTTGTCTGTTCTGCTCCACAGTCCTTCCAAATTTATGATGCTATATCTATCTCATACACACACAAACATACATATGGGCTGGATTTACACTTCAAAAGTATCCTGTTCTGATTAAATATGATATTTAATTGTGCAGCTTTACTTATAATAATACAATTGTAATATAATATAATATTCTAGACTTTTGTTTCCCCCAAAATAAGACATACCCATAAAATAAGCCGTTGCAGGATTTCTAAGCATTTGTGCCATATAAGCCATACCCCGGAAATAAGAGACACCAATAGGCGTGGTTATGCAGCGTACAAGGTTGGCTCCCGCTATCAGGTCCCGGTCGCTCTGTGAGTGCTGCAAACTGAGTTACAGAGGAAGACTTAATGAAAGTAAGTCTCCTCGGTGAAGTGAGCAGCAGGATACTCTGCTTTAGGTATGGTGTGTCCTCAGGGGGAAGAAGTAAAGCTGTAGCTGCTGTTTTACTCAGCACTGTGGGCCTCTCCCCCAGCACCAACCAGCTTAGAAAGTGAAAGTCTCCTCAGTAAAGTGAGGAGCAGGACTCTCTACTTTAGGTATTGTGTGTCCTCAGGGGGAAGAAGTAAAGCTGTGGCTGTCATTTTAGAACTGTGGGTCTCCTTCCCCCAGCATCAACCAGCTTAGAAAATGAAACTAATAGTTTCCTCAATGAAGTGAGGAGGATGCTCTGCTTTAGGTATGGTGTCTCAGGGAGAAGAAGTAAAGCTGTGGCTGCCGTTTTACTCAGCACTGTGGGTCTCTCTTCCCAGCACCAACCAGCTTATAAAGTGAAAGTAAGGAGCAGGACACTCTGCTTTAGAAATGGTGTGTCCTCATGGGGAAGAAGTATAGCTGTGGCTGTCATTTTACTCAGCACTCTGCATCTATTTCTCCCAGCACCAACCAGCATGGAAAGTGAAACTAATAGTCTTCTCAGTGAACTGAGGAGCAGGACGTTCTGCTTTAGGTATGGTGTGTCCTCAGGGGGAAGAAGTAAAGCTGTGACTGCTGTTTTACTCAGCACTGTGGGTCTCTCTCCCCCAGCACCAACCAGTTTAGAAAGTGAAAGTAAGTCTTCTCAGTGAAGTGAGGAGTAGGATGCTCTGCTTTAGGTATGGTGTGTCCTCGGGGAAGAAGTAAAGCTGTGGCTGCTGTTTTACTCAGCACTAGAGGTCTCTCTCCCCCAGCACCAACCAGCTTAGAAAGTGAAAGTAAGTCTTCTCAGTGAAGTGAGGAGTAGGATGCTCTGCTTTAGGTATGGTGTGTCCTCAGGGGGAAGAAGTAAAGCCGTGGCTGCTATTTACTCAGCACTGTGGATTTCTCTCCACAGCATCAACCAGCTTATAAAGTGAAAGTAAGGAGCAGGAAGCTTTGCTTTAGGTATGGTGTGTCCTCAGGGGGAAGAAGTAAACCCATGGCTGCTGTTTTACTCTGCACTATGGGTCTCTCTCCCCCAGCACCAACCAGCTTATAAAGTGAAAGTAAGGAGCAGGATGCATTGCTTTAGGTATGGTGTGTCCTCAGGGGGGAGAAGTAAAGCCGTGGCTGCCATTTACTCAGCACTATAAGTCTCGCTCCCCCAGCATCAACCAGCTTATAAAGTGAAAATACTAATCCTCTCAGTGAAGTGAGGAGCAGGACGCTCTGCTTTAGGTATGGTGTGTCCTTAGGAGGAAGAAGTAAAGCTGTGGCTACCATTTACTCAGCACTGTGGGTCTCTCTCCCCCAGCATCAACCAGATTAAAAAGTAGAAGTTAAGTCTCCTCAGTGCAGTGAGGAGCAGGATGCTCTGCTTTAGGTATGGTGTGTCCTCAGGAGGAAGAAGTAAAGCTGTGGCTGCCATTTACACCCCCAGCATCAACCAGATTAGAAAGTAGAATCAGTGCAGTGAGGAGCAGGACTCTCTGCTTTAGGTATTGTGTGTCCTCAGGGGGAAGAAGTAAAGCTGTGGCTGCCGTTTTACTCAGCATTGTAGGTCTCTCTCCCCCAGCACTGACTAGTAAAACAGCCTGTGGGTCTCTCACCCCACACAAACACCAAGGGATAGATGGGGGGAAAGCTTCAGCAAGCAGTCTGCTACTGACCCCAGAAAGATCGTCCCATAAATGCAGATTGTTGTACCATAGTTCCTAAAAATAAGACACCCCCTGAAAATAAGCCGTAGTGTCTTCTGGAGGAAAAATAAATACAAGACAATGTCTTATTTTGGGGGGAACACAGTGGCAGAATGTCCTTCCCACAAAGACAAAGTTTTGTCATAGAATCAAAGAGTTGGAAGAGACCTCATGGGCCATCCAGTCCAACCTGCCAAGAAGCAGGAATATTGCATTCAAATCCCCCCTGACAGATGGCCATCCAGCCTCTGTTTAAAAGCTTCCAAAGAAGGAGCCTCCACCACACTCCGGGGCAGAGAGTTCCACTTAATAAACTTTTCTCATGTTTTTACAATAGAACCAATAAGGAAACATTTATAATCCAGGAACAATTCTGAGAAACTGTGTTTTATCAAATTGAACCACCAAAAGAAAGTCTTCTCTTGTTTTTTCCTTTCAGGTCGCCATCAAAGACAAACAAGAAGGAATTGAATAGCAGAATGCGCTTGGAAACGGACGATTTTGTGTTTTTCCCCCCAGTAGCCGACTATATCAAAGAGCAAGGATGCACCCGATGTTTTCACCAGAGCTTGTATGTTAACTAATAAATTATACTTTTGTTTTTTAACCCCGTTCAGAAACACAATTCTTGGAAATTTGGGCTCTGAAAACAGTACAGAATTTATTACATCTCTGGACAACGCAGCTGCTCATTCAGTAATCAGTATGCCTAAGAAATACCGTATTTGCTCGAGTCTAAAACGCCATCAAATCTAATGCGCACTTCCGTTTTCAAAGCCTGGAAACAAAACAAAACAAAAGCATTTGCTGGCGAATGTAATGTGCAGTGGAAAAAAGTGTGCCTTCTTTGTCATTTGGCCCCAAAAGGTGTGCTGTGTATGTAGACTTCATCAATTATAGCCATGAAATTACAGATGAGGTCCTTCAAATAGAAGCAGCTTCCCCTTTGGCTTTGGCTCAGCATTGAGATGACGGTATGATGCAAATCTAATGCGCACCCTAATTTTGGCAAGGCAATTTTAGCCCCAAAAGGTGAGCATTAGATTAGTTTCGATCAACACATTCTCATTCCTAGCCTGTCGTCTTTGCTACAACTGTCTCTCCCAAACCAAGGAAAAGTGCCCCGTCCAGATTCCGGAATCGGTTTCGCCATTACCTCGTATCAAGATTTATTAAATACCGTCCTTCTATAAAACAAATACACTTAATACAACAGATAAAGCAAAAGTCACAGTTAAGAGATGTGGGCTCCGATACCTATTGGCGGACTCCCTTTGCATTGATAACACGTGACATTTCAACCCTCCCCCTCCACCCCCGACCCCCCGGTTAATTCTCAGAGAACGGTCACAAAGACTGCAAATACTACTGAAACGCGGATGGAAAATAAATGAGGGTGGGGACCCCCCGCTAGGCCTTCTTCCATATTGCGGCAATGTTGACATCGGTCAAGGCGACCAGGTACGTGAAGGTGGGGTCTGTGACCACGTTGTTCACCAGGACATCGGTCAGCAGCTCCCCATTGGCCTTCAGCTCCGGCCACTTCAGGACCTGCAGGGGAAAGAGAACAGAACATTGTCATCATACAACAAAAATTACATTCCACATTATATAGTGTTATCTCACTTATCGCGGGTGTTACATTATAGGACCGTCCGCGAAAAGTAAAAATCCGTGAAGTAGGGATGCGTTGGGAAGCCCTCCCCCAATAATGGCCCGAAAGAAAACGAATCTTTCGGCACCCGAAACAGAAAACAAATATCTGCCCTCCCAATTTTGGGAGGCTCAGTAGAAATGGATCGGGGACCCTACCAAAAGCCAGGACACAAAAAGAATCAAGGTTTACCCTGAATGCACATGACAATAATAATAATAATAATAATAAATAACTTTATTTATATACCGCTCCATCTCCCCGATAATTATTATCAATAATAATTATTATTGATAATAGAGCGGTTCCCAGGTAACATCACAAAAACATACAAAGTAAAAACAACATAACCATAAGATTAACAAAACAAAATATAAGCATAAAAATTGTTGCCATAACACACATATATTAAAAGTAATCCTGCTTGTTCAAGGCAATTAAAAAAATTAAAAGGCCGGGACAAGATTTGTGCAAGCCCAAAAAATCTAGGGGGGCGGGAATTAAGTGCAATGCTATGGCAGGCAACAATAATATTAGGTACGGGTCTGTGGCTGTTCATTCCGGGGCCAATTAGAGGAAATGATCTGGGTAATTGGTAGGAAGAATAAGGCCGTTTCGACAATGTATAGGGTTGAGTTAGAACTGGTCATTTTCAAAGGTTTGTTGAAACCACCAGGTCATCAAGCTCTTACGAAAGGAGGGAAGGGGTGGGGGCTGTCTTATTTCCCTTGGAAGAGCATTCCAGAGGTGGGGGGCCACCACTGAGAAGGCCCTCTCTCTCACCCCCACCAACTGCACTTGAGACGGTAGTGGGACCGAGAGGAGGGCCTCCCCGGAAGATCTTAGAGCTCGTGCCGGTTCATAGAAGGAGATGCAATCGCGGAGATAGGCAGGGCCTGAACCTAGTCTCTACTGAAGATTTATCACCAATCCTTGTTTCCACAACAAGCCACGTTTTTCAAAATCCAATTACACTACGTAACAAAATTTGCATTTTTTTTTGTTTCCTGGTTTGAAAATGTTATACCCGTTTTAATAGTACAGTCCTTATTTTGAAAGGAGTTGTTCTACTCTGGAAACTGTGTTGTTTTTGTGGCTGCCATAAACCAGGTTGAGTTGGCTGAGACTCAATGATGAGAGATATTCATTGAAAAACAAGAGCAAAATGTCCCTTCTGCAGAAACTTTCCTCATGTTTTTATGATACAACCAATTAGGAAATGGCATTTCCAACCCAGGAACAAAAATCATAGTGTGACATAGCGTAATGTGACAAGATGAGGGCGTCTCTACCTGCGAAGGCCCTATTCTCGTGGCGGTACAGTCTTCCTTTGTGACGCTCAAAGCGGACAAGTGGTTGCTGAGGTCGTACATCCAGACGCTTCCCTTCTCGTCGCCGCAGAACACATACTCTTCTGCTGCAGAAAGGGAGAAGAGGAAGGACACCACAACAACAACATGAAAGCAAACACGTTGGTGCCGGCCCTCCCTCCCTGTTTGTGCGCATATTACGATCCCCTCCGTGCCGTTTTGGCACACAAAATGCAATAGTATTATCATCCCATTACTAACAACAGCATTAATGCGATACAACAGAGTAGGGGCACCCCAATTCTAGCCAATTATTAGTATTCCATTATCACATTAATATTAATGAACTACAGCAGGGCAGGGGCACACCAACTGGAACCAATTATTATTATCATTATTAGCCTATTATTATTATTAGCCTATTATTATTATTATTATTATTATTATTATTATTATTATTATTATATCAGGGCAGGGGATAGCAACTATAGCCTATTATTATTTATCATCCATTATTAGTATTAGCCCATTATTATTATTATTATTATTACAGTAGTCTCACTTATCTGACCTTCTGTCTTATCCAACACCCCCTTTTTTCCTCCAGCATTTCCCCTTCAATTAAAGGCGCACTCCACAACTCTCCATTCCCAATACAGGAGTCTCGCTTATCCGACCTTCGCTTCTCTGACATTCCGTCTTATTTGATACTCTTATCTGACACCCTCCATTTCCTTCAGCATTTCCCTTTCAATTAAAGGAGTGCTCCCCAACTCTCTCCATTCCTAACACAGTAGAGTCTCGCCTATCCGACCTTTGCTTATCCGACATTCCGTCTTATCCGATGCCCCTTTTCCTCCAGCCTTTCTCCTTCAATTAAAGGAGCACTCCACAACTCTCTCCATTCCCAATGAGTTAAAAAGGCAAAACGAGGAGAGGGAGCAAAGGGGGAAAAGTGGCAGGACTGGAAGTGGAAGTATCCTCCCTCCTTCCTTCTGTAAATTTCCACACTCCTCTGCATCCGGGCACTCCTGGGCCCCTCTAGTTTCGAGGCCTTGCCTTGCCTGAACTCTTTGAGTCACTGTTGTTAGTATTCTAGGTGCCTAGCACTGCGTAGGTCGGGTAACCCGTAGGAGACTCCATATTATCCGACATTTTGCCAGCCTGTTTATGTCAGTTAAGCGAGACTCTACTGTATTAATAGGCTATATCAGGGCAGGGTAAACCAATTGTAGTAGTAGTAGTAGTAATAATAATCATCATCATCATCATCATCATCATCATCATATTCTTGTACCCCGCCTCCATCTCCCCAAAGCGGCTCTGGGCGGCTTACACATGGTACACAAGTGCCTAAGACAAAGCATAAAATAAACACACAGGACTAGACAATAAAGTAAAACTATAGCATGTAAAACAACATTTTAAAACTCAGAACAATACCCAATGACCTATGGTGACAACTACTATAAGACATGGCCAAACTGTAAATTAGATGAGGAAATTGTAGCATAATAATAATAATAATAATAATAATAATAATAATAATAATAGGCTACACCAGGGCAGGGGAACACCAATTTAGCCTATTATTAGTAATTATTTAGCTTATTTATTAGTATTTATTAGCCTATTAATAATAATAATAATAATAAATCACACAGTCCCAGACGCTGGGAAGTGTTCAACTTGTGATTTTGTGATACGAAATCCAGCATATATATCTTGTTTGCTATGACATACTGTGTTTTGTGTCAGTAAAATAACAATAACAACAACAATAATAATAGGCTACATAAGGGCAGGGGAACAATTTAGCCTATTATTAGTATTTACTAGCCTATTATTATTATTATTATTATTATTATTATTATTATTATTATTATTATTATTAGGCTACAGCAGGGCAAGGTACACCAATTGTAGCCTAACAATAATAATAATACATCACACAGTCCCAGACGCTTGGGAAGTGTTGAACTTGTGATTTCGTGATACAAAATCCAGCATATATATCTCGTTTCCTGTGCCATACTGTGTTTTAGTGTCATAATAATAATAATAATAGGCTACAGCAGGGCAGGGCACACCAATTGTAGCTTATTATTATTATTATTGAATTATTGGTAATAATAATAATAGGTTACAGCAGGGCAGGACACACCAATTGTAGCTTTATTATTATGATTGATAGTAGTAACAGGTTAGAGCAGGGCAGGGCACACCAATTGTAGCCCTATTATTATTATTATTATTATTATTATTATTATTATTATTAGAAACACAACAAGATGAGTCCACAGCAGATACTCTGCTGGCTGTTGTACTGGATCACACATCGGACCCTTCCCAAGTGTCTAGGACTGTGTGATGTATTGGCGAATAATGTGTGCAGATCCCAGTAAGGTGGCCTGCAGCTAGCAGATGGTAATTTTGTCAGCGCTGATTGTCTTTAAGTGCAGGCCAAGGTCTTTAGGCACTGCACCCAGTGTGCCGATCACCACTGGGACCAACTTGACTGGTTTGTGCCAGATTCTTTGCAGTTAGATTTTTAAATCCTCATATTGTGTCAGCTTTTCCAGTTGTTTCTATGCAATCCTGGTGTCACCTGGGATTACGACATCAACAATCCATAGTTTGTTTTTTAACACGATTGTGAGGTCAGGAGTATTATTATTATTATTGATAATAGTAGTAATAGGTTATAGCAGGGCAAGGCATACCTATTGTAGCCTTATTATTATTATTATTATTATTACTATTATTATTGTAATTATAGGTTACAGCAGGGCATGGCACACCAACTGTATGGCCGGCCCTCCACATTAATAATAATACCGTCTTTCTTCCATTGCAAGGCACACCCTAATTTCAGTTCTAGCACCATCAACAAAAACACACCTCAGAATCATTTCGATATATGGAAACAATGTGCATTAGTATTAAAGAAATCTAAGACACTCCCGAGGAGGAGAGGGGCGACTCTGGATTGCGGGAGCCATAAGGGCCCATGGGTTGGTCCCGTCCGTCCTTGGTTGTGACTTACTTGGGCAGGTACTGAGGGTGAGGTAAGGCAGGTCGGTGGAGGACCACTCCAGTTCGGCCAGGATGACCGCCTGCACGGTCCTCCGCCCACCCTTCCCTTGCTTGAATGAGCGGCTCCAACTCCAGAGGTTGATGGAGCCCGTCTTCGAACTTTTGGTCACTGCGAGAGAGAAAGGAGAGAAAGAGACAGGCCTGGATGGTCAAGGGGCTTCAAGGCCGAAAGCAGGAAGTGACCAGCGAAAGAGCTGGTCTAGTGTTGAGGCTCAGTGCCCCAAATAGCTCTTATTTCCAATCGAACACTAGAAATGAGATTTAAAAGTGCAATAGTTTGATTTGCAGAAAGTGTCATGTTAGGCCGATCAGATAGTTGACCAGAGTATAGTAAACACACCAACACACACATACAGGTTTTTACTCTCCATTTCCACTCATCTCTTTGGGTCAGCCCAATAAAACCAAAACAACAAAGCAAACATCACAATTAAATAAATAAAAAGTAAGAATGCCATAAAACAATACTGAATAATACAATGCAGAATCAATCCCAAAGGGTGGGCCACATGTGCGAGATAAAATGATAACATTCAGAATGAGATAGGGATGAAAGAAAATTATTTGTATGGGAGAAGCTCATTGGAGACGGCGTAGTGGAGACAGGCCTTCAACAGGCAGAGGGAATTGCAATATGGGGACAAACATTATAGACCTCGCAACCTCTGAGGATGCTTGCCATAGATGCAGACGAAAAGTCAGGAGAGAATGCCACTAGAACATGGCCATATAGCCCAAAAAAACCTACAACAACCCAGTGATTCTGGCCATGAAAGCCTTCGACAATACATTGAACATTATAGTTGACATACACACACACACACACACACACACACAAACCCTCATGGAACTGGGCATACCCACGTCATCCTCCCTCCTCCTCAGTTTCGTGTCCAGATTGAATCTTTAAACCTACCAAGAATCAGCTGTTCTTCTTCGTGCAAAGGGGATCCCTTTCTATCTGTGACATCAGAGAACTCTCTAGCCAATCCCTACATGGATCCTAGCCAGCCCCATTTCTCAGCCAATCAGGAGGAGGCGCGGGAAGTAAACCTGCACACACACACAAACCAAACCTTTCCCCCTTTCATTTGTTCCTCTCTCCGAGCTCTACCCTTCAATTCGGTGCTTCTCTGTTCCAAAACAATCCTGTGCTTCACCCTCCCACGTCTTCCAGGTATGAGGGTTCTTTGTTCCAGCTGTGTTGCTATGGGTTAGACTTCACTGGAAATAAGAGTTTCATCTATGCTGATGATCGTGCCATCACCGCTCAAGCAGGTAGCTTTGAGATGGTTGAACAGAAACTCTCCAAAGGTCTAGGTGCTCTTACTGACTTTGACAGGGAAAACCAGCTGATTCCTAATCCATCTAAAACACAGACATGTGCTTTTCATCTTAAGAACAGACAAGCATCCCAAGCTCTGAGGATTACCTGGGAAGGAATCCCATTGGAGCTTTGCAGCACACCCAAGTACCTGGGAGTTGCCCTGGACCGTGCTCTGACTTACAAGAAGCACTGCCTGAATATCAAGCAAAAAGTGGGCACTAGAAACAATATTATACGAAAGCTGATTGGCACAACCTGGGGATCACAATCAGATACAGTGAAGACATTTGCCCTTGCGCTATGCTACTCTGCTGCTGAGTACGCATGCCCAGTGTGGAACACATCTCACCACAATAAAACAGTGGATGTGGCTCTTAATGAGACATGCCGCATTATCACGGGGTGTCTGCGCCCTACACCACTGGAGAAATTACACTGCTTAGCCGGTATTGCACCACCTGACATCCGCCGGGAAGTAGCAGCCAATAGTGAAAGGACCAAGGCAGTGAAATCTCCAGCTCATCCCTTGTTTGGGTATCAGCCAGCACGTCAATGACTTAAATCAAGAAATAGTTTTCTAAGATCTACAGAGACACTCGCTGGAACACCTCAGCAAGCAAGAGTCCAAAAGTGGCAGGCTCAATCAATGGCTGATACCAAATGAGAGACTCCCCCTGGGCACACAGAAAACTGGGCGACTTGGAAGGCGCTGAACAGACTGCGCTCTGGCACCATGAGATGCAGAGCCAACCTTAAGAAATGGAGCTACAAAGTGGAATCCACGACATGCGAGTGTGGAGAAGAGCAAACCACAGACCACCTACTGCAATGCAACCTGAGCCCTGCCACATGCACAATGGAGGACCTTCTTGCAGCAACACCAGAGGCACTCCAAGTGGCCAGCTACTGGTCAAAAGACATTTAATAAAATGCCAAGTCTGCAAACTTTGTGTTTTGTTTGTTTGTTTTTAATGCAATACAACTGTTTTGGTTCACTCCTGACACGATAAATAAATACTGGAAAGAAATACGCCAAGACACACAGCTGCTAAAGTTAGCATGCATCTTTATTTGGAATACAAGAACTAACCGATGTATATAGGGCCTAAACTACATCATCATAAATCACTCAATGGCTATGGTGCATTTCCTACATACCAGAGCCCACCTCCTCCCAACTCAGGCAATTGAGTTTTATGGCTGGTTCATATGTCCTAGTAGGATCCTGTCCTCCCCAACGAACAGCTTCAGGGCTGTTCGTTGGATGGCATGAGTGAGGGATCATGACACCAGGTCATTTTGATGTTTCTTCACACAACTGAACACTCAGAATCATAGAGTTGGAAGAGACCTCATGGGCCACTCACTCCAACGTCAATCAATCAAGGAGTCATCTGCATGCCCAGGTCATCCTCCTCCTGTTTCGTGCCCAGATTGGACCTTTAAACCTACCAAGAAGCCCTGCTATGGGGAACCCTTTCCCCCTCCACTTCTCCCTCCCAGCTCTATTCCTCTCTATTCCAAAACAATCCTGTTTTCCAAAACATTTCTCCTGTGCTTCTACCTCCCATCTCTTCTAGGTCATTCTGATATCTCTTCACCTTTCACACACTCTGCAATGCTGTCTTTTCCCAATTCCTTCACTCTTTTAATAATAATAATAATAATAATAATAATAATAATAATAATAATAATACTTTATTTGTACCCCGCTACCATCTCCCAAGGGACTCGGTGCGGCTTACATGAGGTTGAGCCCAAAATACAACAATAAACAATAACAGCAACAGCACTCCCTCGCCCTCTTTAACCCATTCTCTAAACTTTCTTCTTGTAAAATTTGTGTCCGAAGCACCACAGATATTGCAATTATTCCTGTTATGAATGAGGCAGAGAGTTCCACTGCTGAACCACTCTTACATTTCTTGAGGCTTGGTGCCCCCAAAATTCCCTAGTTATCTACAAACGAGGAGATTTAAAAGTACAATAGTTTAATATTGCAAAATATTGGGTATTGGTGCAACTGTGGAGCAGAACTCTGCGTCTGTATGCCTGTCCTCAATGTCCTGCCTCACGTACAGAGGAAGAATTGCTTGAGACTACAGACAATTAAAGTCGCTGTTGCCCATTTTTGGTCAAAGGATATTTAGTGGCTTGTGCGCCTTCCATTTATATCAGTTTTATACTAATTTATGCAATGCTTTTGGTACTGATTAAATAATAAATATATATAATTACAATTGTAATGTTAGTTTGTGGGATTAACATAACTCAAAAACCACTGGGCATATTGACACCAAATTTGGACACCTACCAGGCCAACGAGTACCATCACTCATAAAAACACTGAAAAATACAGCGGAAGCGACTTAAAAAGCCAAAAAGGCAAAAAGACACTACAGCGCATGCGTAAAACGACTCTCCCTGGCAAACAAAACACAACAGCATATCCACACTCTCTTCTGAACTACAGCTCCCAGCATCCTCAAGACCAGGCCCTTTAGGAGAGGAGGGTGATCCAAATGCACTGCTTCCAAGCTCCAAGCTTTCTTCTCCTTGGATTTCTTTGAGAGCATCCCAATCCCTGCGTATTTCCAATTCCCTATTCCTGGACTGCAACTCCCAGCAATCCTTCAGATAGATAGTATAGATAGATTAGATAGAGATAGGTAGGTAGGGAGATTGATTGATCAGGAGGACTGCTGGGAGTTGCAATAATATAATAATAACAACATAATATAATTTAATGTGTCAGGCTGAAAAACGTGGCTTATATTCGAGTATATACGGTACTTAATAATATAATAATAACAACATAATATAATTTAATGTGCCAAAGACAATTTTCCTCTTTGTGGAGTCTGTGAAAGACGCACATAATGGGTTTACTTCTGTGCATGTGCAGCTGTTCAGAACCTTCTAGAACAGTAGTTCTCAACCTGTGGGTCCCCAGGTGTTTTGGCCTACAACTCCCAGAAATCCCAGCCAGTTTACCAGCTGTTAGGATCTCTGGGAGTTGAAGGCCAAAACATCTGGGGACCCACAGGTTGAGAACCACTGTTCTAGAATCTTGAAATAGGAACATTTTGGAGGACGCCCCACCCACTATCCCCAATACTATAAATGCCCAAGGCGGGAGCCTCGGCTTAGTTCTTTTTCTGTTGCATCAGCAGCCTCTGGAACCTCCCTATCTTCATGTCTACGTCCTTTTTAAAGAAATGCAGCTTCGGTGAGGGGAACGTGCTGGATACAGATGGGCACTCTATGTGTTTGAAAAGGGAGCTATCACTAGACTCCATCTCTCTGAAGCAAAGCATTGTTCCTTTTCCAGATATTTCTTAATTTCAAAAAGGGGTGGTGGCCTCTGCCCCTTTTTGAAATTAAGACGTTAATTAGTTGATTAAGCTCCGCAAGTTTCGCATGGTTACCCTGTCATCCATCCTCCCACTGCTAGGACCAGGAACATGGTTTGCAACAATTGATCTCAGAGATGCATACTTTCATTTTTCAATCAGAATAGATCATCGCAGGTTTCTCAGTTTTTCCTTAGGCACCCAGTTGTATTCTTTCAATGTGCTCCCTTTTGGCCTTCCAACAGCGCCTCGAGTCTTTACAAAATACATAGTGGTAGTGGCTGCATACCTGAGACAGAGGGGAATCATATTTTTTCCATGTTTAGACGATTGGTTGCTCACTTCGGAATCAAAGTCTTGCCTTCAATCTGACGTTGCCTTCACGATGTCTCTCCTACAGAGTCTTGGCCCTATGGTCAACTTCGAAAAATCAAACTTGATCCCTTCGCGACATGTTCAATTCATTGGCGACACCATAGATTCCATCGAAGAGAAAGCCATCCTGCCAGAAGACAGTTTCCGTGCCATCAAATCTGCCATAGCCAACATATGCACTCGAGAAAGAGCCTCTGCATGGGCCATTTAGTCGTTACTGGGTCACATGGCCTCGACGACTTCTGTCACCAAATTTGCAAGGCTCAGAATGCGCCCGCTACAACACTGGTTCCTTCCAGTGTTCAAACCTCAATACGACAGTCAGAACATCCAGCTGTACCCGCCACAGGTCCTATCCTCCCTTCGATGGTGGACACAAAGAAGGCATGTCTTTGCGGGCATGTCCTTCAGGCAACCTCGTCCGTCCTGTTGGCTCACGACGGATGCATCCATGCAAGGTTGGGGGGGCGCATCTCCAGGACCTAACAATACACGAACGGTGGCCCCAGAGAGAGGCACGCCACCACATCAATTATCTTGAACTGATAGCTGTGCAGAAAGCCCTGTGCGCATTCGAGCCCCAGATCACCGGGCATACCGTCCAACTGCTTACAGACAACACGACGGTGAAATTCCACGTCAACAAACAGGGCGGAATGCATTCCTCCAGCCTTCTCCGTCTGTCAGCGGCGATCTGGGAATGGTGTATCACACGAAAGATCCATCTCATCGCGGTACACCTACCGGGAGAAGACAACTCCCTCGCTGATGCTCTCAGCTGCGTGCAGATGTTGAGCCACGAGTGGCAACTTCACCAAGAACTTCACCAACCTTCTAACTCACCACTGGGGTCAACCAACATTAGACTTATTCGCATCACCAGCAAACAAACAATGCGACATGTTCTGTGCCAAACTTTGCCCCAGAACAATACCGAGATGCATGGGGGACGCTTTCATGTTCCCTTGGTCCCCAGGCCTGGTATATGCCTTTCCTCCAATCCCTCTAATTCCTAGGATACTGGCCAAAATGACTGCAGACAGAGCAGACTCCATACTGGTCACTCTGTGGTGGCCATGTCAGCATTGGTTTGCCCCTCTCCTCAAGGTGTTGGACGGTGAGTACTTTCAGCTACGGTCCAGACTCGACCTCCTATCCATCCAGGAAGGCCGAGTACACCATCCAGACCTAGCCTCACAACATGGAGAATACGGCCAAGCACCATTCTCGGAGGCAGTACAGCAAATAATTGGCGTGGCCCAGAAAGCTATGACCAAAAAGGTCTACAGCTACAAATGGTCTTGCTTCCTGGAATTTGTCAAACTATTAGCTATTGACCCACTCACGGTCCCCACTCAGCGGTTATTTTAAACTTCCTGGTGCACATATCTAATAAAGGACTGTCTCTGTCGTCGATCAAGTGCTATCTGACGGCCATCTCATGGCACAGGAGACATGCCGGAAGGACATCGTGATTCCACGACTCCATGGTACGGCTGTTCCTCAAAGGTTATCGCAGCGGTCCAAGCCACTGTTCAAACCCATGGCCACCTGTGAGATCTCACACCTCTCATGGAAAATGGCGTCCTTTGTGGCCATTACATCAGCCAGGAGAGTGAGCAAGATCTGCGCCCTAAGATTAGATGCGCCATATCTCCGTTTATACAAGGAAAAGGTGGTCCTTCGTCCGGATATTGCGTTCCTGCCAAAAGTAGCCTCCCAATTTCATTTATCACAAAACATCTCAATACCAGCATTTTTTCAAAACCCTTCTTCCCCATTGGAAGTCACCTTACACTCGCTTGGCATCAGGCATGCCTTGGCATTGCACACCAACAGGACAACCCCACATAGAAAGTCAATGAGGCTTTTCCTAAAGTATCGCAAGGACTCCCTAGGCCTACCTGTATCAGCGGCTTGCCTCGTGGATCGTCTCAACGATCGGACTGGCATATCAGCTTGTGAAGAAAGAACCCCCGCGGCAGGTCTCTGCACATTCCATGAGAGCGGTATCAACTTCGCAAGCCTTCCTGAGAGGCATCCCTATTGATGGCATCTGCAAGGCGGTGACCTGGTCCACTCCATCGATGTTTGCCGCTCACTACAAACTGGATGCCCTGGCATGGAAGGATGCAGCTTTTGGCCGAGCAGTGCTGTTTTCCTGCGTCGCATGACCCCGCCTTCAAAGGTTAGTAGCTTGCTAATCACCCATGTGCGTCTTTCACAGACTCCACGAAGAGGAAATGCAAGTTGCTTACCTGTAACTGTGTTTCCTCGAGTGGTAGTCTGTGAAATTCGCACATCCCCGCCCATCCTCCCCGCAATGGTCATGCTTTTTCTACAGCTGCTGATGGCGGCTGTGGAATTAAGCCAAGGCTCCCGCCTTGGGCATTTATAGTTTTGGGGAGAGTGAGCGGGGCGTCCGCCAAAATATTTCTATTTCAAGATTCTAGAAGGTTCCGAACAGCTGCGCATGTGCAGAAGTAAACCCATTATGTGCTAATTTCACAGACTACCACTCGAGGAAACACAGTTACAGGTAAGCAACTTGCATTTTTTGCAGTTTCATCTATTTTTTCCATGTTTTTGTTAAAGAACTAATTAGGAAATGACATTTATAATCCAGAAACAAAAATCGGGTTACATAGTGTAATATAATAATTAATATAGAATAATATAATAATTGTAATATAATAATTAATATAATTATAATATAATCTAATAATAGAATAGAATAAAATAATATAATAAATATAATATAATGTGCTGCAGGATGTTCCTCCTTTAAAGTTTGTGCAGTTTAATACACTTTCCCCATGTTTTTATGATACCACCAATTAGGAAATGGCATTTATAACCCCAGAACAAAAATTGTGTGACGTAGTGTTATTTTAGCCACCCTCTTCCTTTGTGCACCTCCCAGCATAGAGTCCATTTGCCTCATGGATTGCTTTACGCAAACCCACTCTTATTTGTACTATGGCTCCTCTATTCTTAGCTTCTACCCAAGACAAATAGGATCTGGAGCCCTGAACATCCTCTTACCCACAATATCTTCATTCAGGAAAGCCAGGCCATCCACTCGATGGGATGAGGTCTCGTTCCCCGCATCGTTCGGGAATTGAAACTCCACTTCGAAAGGCCTGGAACGAGAAGCCCAGACATGAAAATGTAAACCAATAGCCTATCTTTAGGCTAATCTTGCCAACCAAAAGGTTGACGATGCAATATCCAACACATGCCAAAAACCTAAGTATCAAAACTCACTCAATAGTTTTTCGTTTGCATTTTGTAAACCTTGGAAACCTCCCAAAGTCAGTTTCATGTTCAGCAAAGCAAAGCCAAAAAAGGAAGCAAAGCAAAGCCAATAAGGCTGCCTTTCCTCTTTAAATGAATGGCCTCTCGCCATGACGAGAGGGGAAACAGCAGGGAGGAAGTAGAGTTTGCTGGGAAATAGACTGAGAAAGCACAGGATTCTGGGAAATGTAGTTTGGGAAGGCGAGGAGCCCTATGGCGGAAAATTTCAAAGGCCCTGCCCTGAACTACATTTCCCAGAATTCTGCTCAGCATCGGGAATCCCCTATGATCCCCTGTTATCTTGTGTCTTTGTGTAGAAAATCCAAGGAGGTCACTCTTGTGAAACTTCATGGGCTCACAGTGGTCAATGTGTCCTACCATTGTAGCAAGTTTCACCCCAATAGCTGTAAAAACGTGGTGAAAATTTCAGAACTCGTAACAAAACTGGAAGACACAGTTTTTATAGATTGAGTCGCCTTCGGGCTAAAATGGGTGGGATAGAAGCGACTTAAATAAATAAATAAATAAATAATAAAACTTTCAAAAACTCATTATTATTTTGTTATTGGCGAGTTTTATGACAGAACCAATTAAGGACTGCAATTTATAACAAACTTTTGAGTTCTGAAATTTTCACCACCAGAACTTTAGCAACACTTTAGAAGCAAAGCACCAGCGCCCTCTAGTTTTGTAAGTACTTTAGAATCATGGATTGGCCATGCCTAGTACCTATTGATCTACTCACATATTGAATGTTCTCGAACTGCTAGGTTGGCAGAAGCTGGGCTTAACCAGCGGGAGCTCATGCTGCTCCCTGGATTTGAACCTGCAACCTTTTGGTCAGCAGGTTCAGCAGTTAAGCGGTTTAACGCACTGCGCCACCGGGGGCTCCAAAAGGACCTAGCTATGATAAAACCCAGTGCTGGGGTCTGTGTATCTACTTCTTGCTCTGAAAGTGCCTGAGATACATTGAAAAACCTTTGTCAAGTATTTGCGACACTTCTGGGGGGCCTTTGGTGGGTGCAAGGTGAGGGGCGAGGGCCTTACTCACCTGTTCTTGGGCTGCTTGTCGTCCAGGCGGATGTCCCAGGCAAAACAGCCCTGTTCACAGCCAGCCACCAAGTACCGGTCGGGGCAGGAGGGCACCAGCGCTATGCGCAGCGGCGTGGACACTGTCTCCAGCACCAGCAGCTGCCTGACAAACAAGGGAAACACACAATGTCAGGAAGCCCGATGCAGCCGCGTGAAGAGGCTGTCCAGGATGACCTGACAGGAAGAGAGGCCATGCTGGAGAAATGGGGGAGGGTGGGAAGGAACTGGGGAATCAGTGTGAGAATACAAACCAGCAAGGGGTAGGGATTATTGTCTAGGTACTGTATACAGTGTTCCCTTGCTACTTCGTGGTTCACTTTTTGCGGACTGGCTGTTTTGTGGGTTTTTGTCTCCCGGTTTATGAATGGTAGCCGTTGCCGAGTGGCATTCTAATTCTAACGATGGAATGTGGAAGGGGGTTTCACCCTCCCCCCCAAGAGAGAGGCAGCCAATCAAGAGCCCGAAAGACAGTTGCATCTGTCAAGTAGGAAATATAAGTACCACTTACATGGGGAGGCTAATTTAGCTAATTTATGAGGCCATAAAAATTTCCAGCAAGCATGCGGGGAATGAGGAAGTACTTCATCGGATGGACAGTGAAGCAACAGCTCCCCTGGTGGCCAGAAAATGTTGGAATGTTAAATAGCCTCTGACTGTCTGTCTATATATGTTGTGTGTCTATGGCAGGGGTCCTCAAACTTTGTAAACAGAGGGCCAGGTCAGAGTCCCTCACGCTGTTGGAGGGCTGGATTATAATTTGAAGAAAAAAAAAGAATTAATTTCTATGTACACTGCACATATCTTTTTTGTAGTGCAAAAAACACTTAAGAACAATACAATAATTAAAATATAAACTTATTAGTATTTCAATGGGGAGTGTGGGCCTGCTTTTGACTGCTGAGATAGGATTGTTGTTGTTGTTGTGTGCTTTCAAGTCCTTTCAGTCTAATGTTGACCCTGAGCGAGGGCCGGGTAAATGACCCTGGAGTTTGAGGACCCCTGGTCTATGGCATTGAATGTTTGCCATGTATATGTACATTGTAATCTGCCCCGAGTCCCCTGCGGGATGAGTAGGGCGGAATATAAATACTTTAAATAATAATAATAATAAATAATAATAAGAGAGATTGCAAAGCTAAGCAGAGATAGCTAGCAAAAAAAAGGTGTGTGGTGCCTCTAAATCTCTCCTCTCTTCTCCCTCACACTTGGAACGCAATATACATACTTTGCGGATTTTCACTTTTCCCGGGTGGTCCTGGAACGTAACACCCGCGATAAGTGAGGGAACACACTGTATACTTGAGTATAAGTCAACCAAAATATAAGCCGAGGCACCTAATTTTACCACAAAAGGCTGGAAAATGAATTGACTCGAGTCTAAGCCGAGGGTGGGAAATGCAGCCGCTGCTGGTAAATTCCAAAATAAAAATAGATATCAATAAAATAACATTAATTGAGGCATCCTTAAGTTCAATGTTTTTGAATATTTACCATATTTCAAAGAAAAACAGTAAACTAGCTCTGTAAGTGGAAAAGTAGGGTCAACAAAAAAATTATGGTATCAACTTTATAATAATAATAAAACTTCTACAGAGAATGAACACGCCAAACTCCTCTGGGACTTTCGGATTCAGACAGACAGAGTTTTGGAGCACAATACTCCTGACCTCACGATTGTGTTAAAAAAACAAAGTATGGATCGTTGATATTGCAATCCCAGGCAACAACAGGATTTAAAAATAACAATAAAGCTGAGACAATATGAGGATTTAAAGATCGAACTGCAAAGACTCTGGCACAAGCCAGTCAAGGTGGTCCCAGTGGTGATCGGCACACTGGGTGCAGTGCCTAAAGACCTTGGCCTGCACTTAAACACAATAGTGCTGACAAAATTACTATCTGCCAGCTGCAAAAAGCCACCTTACTGGGATCTGCATGCATTATTTGCTGAGACATCACACAGTCCTAGACACTTGGGAAGTGTCCGAACGTGTGATCCAATACAACAGCCAGCAGAGTGTCTGCTGTGGACTCATCTTGTTGTGTTTCAAATAATAATAATAATAACAACAACAACTTAATAGAACTTTATTTGTATCCCGCCCTATCTCTCCATGGGGACTCAGGCCGGCTTCCAACATAGAAACTGGCAAACACTCAATGCCTATTTATTTACTTAAAGCATTTATATTCTGCCATTCTCACTCCAAGTTCACATCAATCACACAAAATTATTATTATTGATACAAAAACACAGTAGGTCACAGCAAACAAGATCTACATGCTGGATTTCGCATCAAAATCACAAGGCGAACACTTCCCAAGCTTCTAGGAATAATAATAATAATAATAATAATAATAATTATTATTATTATTATTATTATTTCTACTTAAAAGTCTGAGCCATGTTCACATCAGTCTTAAATAACAATAATTGTTGAGTGTTCTTTTAGAGTTTTTTAATACTCTGAAAACTCCAGACAAGAAACAATCAGGGACAGCTAATCACTCCTCAAAAAAGGATTCCCCCAGGCAGTAAGATGCCACACCTGAAACTGCTAGGCCATTTAATGCTAATCATGGTGGCCAATGGAAACATTCACAATTGTCTCAAACAGACCAGAGTTCTTTTCCCACCCTGGACATTCCATAGATATATAACTCCGTTTTTCTAGTTTTCAACCACCTCTGAGGATGCCTGCCATAGATGTGGGCAAAACATCAGGAGAGAATGCTTCTGGAATATGGCCACACAGCCCGGAAAACACAACAACCGAAGATGGTAAACATGAAATCCCCACACTGGAATCCTCTTTTTTCCAGGAAAGGGTTCACAATCTTGAATATCTATCTTTGATAAGTAACTCGCTGGAGCGAACCACAACACAATGCTACTTTTAATTTCTCGGTATCCGAACAGATGCGAACAGATCCGAAGTGTGTCCTTCACGTGCCATTCATTCCTTACCTTTCCTTGAAGTTGTAGTCACAGTCCGGCACGCCAATGTCCCACATGCAGATCTTCTTGTCATAGGATGCAGCTGACAGAAGGAAGACAGAAGGACATGGCTTGTGAACTTGGAGCTAAGTTGCTTTAAAATAGACGTGGTGTTGAATTCCTTATCTGAATTCCTTATTTGTTATTATTATTATACCACTATTTTTAGGGGGAGGGGAGTTGGAAGTGTTGTCGTCTGTTTAATGGTGCAGTTCTTCCTTTGAAAGCTGTTGTTCTACCCCAGAAATTTGGTTGTTTTTATGGCTGCCACAAACTAGGTTGAATGGGTTGAGATGGTGGGAGTCATTGAAAAGTGATGGCCAAATGTGCTGCAGTATGTCCTTCAGGCAAAAACAAAGGTTTGGCAGTTCAATAAACTTTCCCCATGTTTTTATTATAAGATCAATTAGGAAATGAGATTTATTACCCAGGAACAAAAACTGTGTTATGCAGTGTTTATATAATTTTATATTATAGTAATTATTATTATTATATAATAATATATAAATAATATTATATTACTGACAAAAAACACAGTAGGTCACAGCAAACGAGATATATATACTGGATTTCGTTTCACAAAATCACAAGTCGAAAACTTCCCAAGCGTCTAGGACTGTGTGATGTATAATATGATATTATATTATTATTATATATCATATAATATATTATATACTGTATATACTTGAGTATAAGCCTAGTTTTTCAGCCCTTTTTTTAGGCTGAAAAAGTCCCCCTCAGCTTATATTCGAGTCAAGGTTATTTATTATTTTACTCTGTTATTATTATTTATTATTTCATTTTTTATTATTATTCTATTTATTATTACATTTTCATTTTACTCTATTATTATACGTTTATTATTTTACTGTATAATTGTTGTTATTGCTACATTCTTTATTTTACTCTTTTTATTATTGTTGTTGTTATTACATTTATTATGTTACTCTCTTTTATTATTATTGGAAGGATACATAAGCACATTTACTCTGAAGAAGGTAAATAATCTTTTAATCAGAGTTGGACAGTCTTATCTTAAATTACCATTTTTGTAAATATTCAAAAATATATAACCTACTGATTCCTCAATTAATGTAATTTAATTGGTATATATTTTTATTTTGCAATTTACCAGTAGCTGCTGCATTTCCCACCCTCGGCTTACACTCGAGTCAATCTGTTTTCTCAGTTTTTTGTGGTAAATTTAGGTGCCTCAGCTTATATTCAGGTTGGCGTATACTCGAGTATATACGGTAATAATGATATATAATAATATACCTTTCCCTTCCTCTCTCAAGCGACCTCTTTCTCAGCTGTGTGTTTTCTTCTCTTGTACAGGAGGGAGGGGAGTGTGCTGTTGTTTTAATGCATGCTCTATATAGTCATTTAGCTTTGTGGGGGTTTTAAGTTTTTTCTGGTTATTTTTGTTTTGTTTTGTTTTTTGAGTGAAGGACATACATTGGTTTAGTTGGTGTATTGTGGCCAAATTTGATATCAATTCTCCCAGTGGTTTTTTAGTTATGTTATTCCCACAAACCAATATTACATTTTATTTATATAGATTATATTACTATATTATACTAGCCGTCCCCTACCACGTGTTGCTGTGACCCACATGGGGGTTCTGTGTGGGAGGTTTGGCCCAATTCTATCATTGGTGGGGTTCAGAATGCTCTGTGATTGTAGGTGAACTATAAATCCCAGCAACTACAACTCCCAAATGTCAAGATTCTATTTTCCCCAAACTCCACCAGTGTTCACATTTGGGCATATTGAGTATTCGTGTAGAGTTTGGTCCAGATCCATCATTGTTTGAGTCCACTGATCTCTGGATGTAGGTGAACTACAACTCCAAAACCAAAGGACACTGCCCACCAAACCCTTGCAGTATTTTCTGTTGTTCATGGGAGAACTGTGTGCCAAGTTTGGTTCAATTCCATCGTTGGTGGGGTTCAGAATGCTCTTTGATTGTAGGTGAACTATAAATCCCAGCAACTACAACTCCCGAGTTACAAAAGCAACTTTTGTGAGTGAAGGACATACATTGGGCTGTTAGGTGTCTTGTGTCCAAATTTGGTGTCAATTCCCCCAGTGGTTTTTGAGTTCTGTTAATCCCACAAACGAACATTACATTTTTATTTATATAGATTATATTACTATATTATATGATAATACAACCGAGCGTGAGACTTACTGAAGAGGTGTGTCTCATTGACGGGGCTGAAGCAGGCAGTGGCGATGGGCTTCTTGTGGGCCTTGATCTCCCCGTAGCAATAGTCGGCCGTCACGTGGATGAGCTTCACGATGCCTCTCCTCCCAGCCGCTGCCAGGACGTTGTGCTTCTTTTTCCTCCCGTCGCTGGTCGCCATGGTCAGGGTTGTCCACGCAACCGTATAGAACTCCTAATGAGGGGGAGAGTATGTGTGTGTGGCAGGAAACATGAAGGATACATATATTATCTATCTAAATCTGGATGTGTGTATGTGGCTGGAGCTCCTCCCTCCTCAAACAGCTCTAGCTCTCACTTCTCAGGAGACACCAATAGCCCTCCCTCCCATGACATTGCAGGTTATGGTGAGAGTCATGAACATGTCCAAGAGCCCTACCAATGTCCTCCACCAACACCATCCTGCCTACCACCCAAGTGAAGGCTTTCATTCGGGGACAATTTGATGTTTTTCCTTCACCACAGACACCCCAGTGTTTCTGACTCGCTCCATTGATGTGGAATTTGCATGACCTTGCATGACCTGCCCACTGTGTAGGCATCTTGGCTTCCTTCCTTACCTCTCCAGTTACTTTGTACTTTTTCAAGACGATGCCTGTCTCGCAGTCCACCAAACAGACCGAGTCCCCACCACAGGTCGCTGCTGTCCTGGAGGAGCTCACCACTGGGTCTGGAGGAGAAACAGCCAAAAGACATGGCAAGCTTATGGTCAGCATCAACCGATTATTTATTTACGACACTGTTCTCACCCCGAAGGGGACTCAGAGCGGCTTACAAAATATATAAACATACAATACATTATATCAGTGGTTCTCAACCTTCCTAATGCCACGACCCCTTAGTACAGGTCCTCATGTTGTAGTGACCCCCAACCATAAAATTATTTCCATTGCTACTTCATACCTGTAATATTGCTACTGTTATGAATCGTAATGTAAATATCTGATAGCAGGATGTATTTTCATTCACTGGACCAAATTTGACAAAAATACCCAATAAATCTAAATTTGAATACTGGTGGGGTTGGAGGAGGGTTGATTTTGTCATTTGGGAGTTGTAGTTGCTGGAATGTAGGAGCCCCCGGTGCAGTGGGTTAAACCCCTGTGCCGGCAGGACTGAAGACCGACAGGTCACAGGTTCGAATCCAGGGAGGGGCGGATGAGCTCCCTCTATCAGCTCCAGCTCCTCATGCGGGGACATGAGAGAAGCCTCCCACAAAGATGATAAAAACATCAAATCATCCGGGCGTCCCCTGGGCAACGTCCTTGCAGACGGCCAATTCTCTCACACCAGAAGCAACTTGCAGTTTCTCAAATCACTCCTGACACGATAAAAAAAAAGTTGCTGGGATTTATAGTTAACCTACAATCTGAACTTCACCAATGATGGAATTGAACCAAACTTGGCACACAGTACTCCCATGACCAACAGAAAATATTATGGAAGAGTTTGGTGGGCAGTGACCTTGAGTTTTGGAGTTGTAGTTCTCCTACATCCAGAGAGCACTGTAGACTCAAGCAATGATGGATCTGGGCCAAACTTGGCACAAATACACAATATACCCAATTGTGAACACTGGTGGAGTTTGGGGAAAATAGACATTGACATTTGGCAGTTGTAGTTGCTGGGATTTATAGTTCACCTACAATCAAAGAGCATTCTGAACCCCACCAATAATAGGAATGGGTCAAACTTCCCACACAGAATCTCAATGACCAACAGAACATACTATGTTTTCTAATTGGTGTTTGGTGACCTCTCTGACACACCCTTGCAACCCCCCCAGGGGTCCCGACCCCCAGGTTGAGAAACGCTGCATTATATTATTAGCATAGCGCAAAATCAGTATTATATATTACTATATTGTACTATACCATTATATTGTAATATTATTAGTAATATTACATATAATATAAAATATATAATTACAATATATTATTATTAGTAGTATTATATTGTATTACATTATAATATTATAAATATTATATGTATATACAATATATTATTTTATATTACATTATATTATCAGAGCCCCAAGTGGTGCAATGAGTTAAACCCTTGTGCCGGCAGGACTGCTGACCAAAAGTCCACTGTTTGAATCCAGGGAGCAGGGAGAACTCCTGTCTGTCAGCTCCTGCTTTCCATTTGGGGACATGAGAGAAACCTCCCACAGGATAGTCAAACATCTGGGCGTCTCACAGGCGACATCTTTGAAGACAGCCAGTTCTCCTACACCAGAAGTGACTTGCAGTTTCTCAAGTCGCTCCTGACACAGAAAAAAAAAATCACCCAACTTTCAAACAACTAAGTTAAGAACAGGGCTGGACTGGATGAGCTTTGGCAGTCCCTTCCAAATCTATACTACCTCTATCTCATATACATAGACATATTGATAAATGCCATCCCCGAGTTACAAACATTCGATTTTCGAACGACTCACAGCCAAGAACGGGGCTGGACTGGATGGCCTTTGGGGATCCCTTTCTACTCTATGATACAAACTCTATCATATATATAGATATATTGATACAGGCCGTTGCCGAGTTACAGACATCCAACTTACAAATGACTCCTAGTTTAAAGCAGCACACATGTTTTATGACATGAGCTGCTCATTATGTGCAACGGTACAGAAATGGGGCGCCCAGGCAAACACGGAGGCCATTTGCTCACCTTTTCTTGTCCCGCAATCCAGCGGCGGCTCAAAGACGCAGGCCCACAACTGGGTCTTGAAGTCGTCTCTGTTGTTGCCTTTACTGTGACACTGGAGGAAATGGACCGGCTCCAGGCTGATTGTCTCCTGGAAGAAAGCAGGTTATTATTATTATTATTATTATTATTATTATTATTATTATTATTATTATACTACAACTACTACTACTACTAACTACTAGCTGTCCTCAGTCATGCCCAGTCTGGTTAAATGGAAAAGAAAGAAAAGAGGAAGAGCTGTGTTCTAATATATGTAATTTCACATAGCTTGGAGGTATACAATATTTTTTTGTTGTTGTTGTTTCGCTGTCTGGGCAAATAAAGAGATTGTCTGGTTTGGCAACTCTAGAACATGCAACATGTAATAGTCCATGTGAGAAGCAGTCCGTGTCTAGGTCTGAACAACACCATTCTAAAGACTGGCCCTGAGCTTTGTTGATGGTGATTGCAAATGCCAATTGAATTGGGAATTGCTATTTATTTGCGTCATTTTTATCCCGCCCATTTCAGCCCGAAGGCGACTCAGGGCGGTGTACAGACCTTAAATGGAAATTGCATATCCGTTACATATCCGCAGGAATACAGAATTACTATGATCTATTTTTATTATGATTATAATAATAATAATAATAATTATTATTATCTTCATCAGACAAGGATTTGGAAGAGTTCCCAAGAGGCTATCCAATCCAACCCCCTTTCTGCCAGGCAGGAAAATAGAATTATTATTATTATTGTTATTATCATCATCATTATCTATTATTTTCATTATCATCATCAGGCTCAAGGATTTGGAAGAGTCCCCAAGACGTCATCGAGTCTAACCCCCTTTCTGCCAATCAGGAATACAGATTATGATCTATTTTTACTATGATCTATGATTATTTTTATGATCTATGATCTATTTTTATTATGATCTTCTATTATTTTTATCATCATCATCATCAGACAAGGATTTGGAAGAGTCCTCAAGAAGCTATCCAGTCCAACCCCTTTTCTGCCAATTAGGAATACAGAATTATTATGATCTATTATTATTATTATTATTATTATTATTATTATTATTATCATTATTATTATTAGCAGCAGCAGCAGCAACAGTAGCAAGGAGTTGGAAGAGACCCCAGGCTGTCCAATCAACCCCCATTATTATTATTATTATTATTATTATTATTATTATTATTACTACCAGCATCATTTATTATTTATTTATTTATTTACTATTCTTGTATACCGCTGCATCTCAAGCCCGAGGGCGACTCGCAGCGGTTTCCAACAGCAAAGGCAATAAAAACAGCAATAAGCAATATACAATTACAATCAAGTTACACATATCCATTAATAACTAATAAACAATCATCACTACACAATTATCACAAATCCCATCCCCGATCGCCTCATCATCCAAGCGTGATCCAAATTAGTTCGTCCATTGTTCCGTTCCTATGTTCAAATTACCAAAATTGCACTGAATTAGTCAAACGCCTGCACAAACATCCAGGTCTTCAACTTTCTACGGAATGTCATGAGAGATGGTGCCAGCCTAACATCTACAGGAAGGGCGTTCCACAGCCGAGGAGCCACCACCGAGAAGGCCCTATCTCTCGTCCCCGCCAACCGTGCTTGAGAGGCTGGCGGGATCGAGAGCAGGGCCTCCCCGGAAGATCTCAAAGTCCGGGTGGGTTCATAGGCCGAGATGCAGTCATCATCATCATCATCATCATCATCATCATCACTCAAAGAGTTGGAAGAGACTTCAAGAGGCCATCCATACCAATCCCCTTTCTGCCAATCAGGAATACAGAATAATAATAATAATAATAATAATAATAATAATAATAATCAGCAAGGAGTTGGAAGAGACCCCAAGAAGCTACTGTTGTTCTTATTGTTCTTATTGTTCTTATCATCATCATCATCATCATCATCATCACCTCGAGGCCATCCAATCAACCCCCTTTCTGCCAAGCAGGAGTACAGAATTATTATTATCTTCTATCATCATCATCATCATCACTCAAAGAGTGGGAAGAGACTTCAAGAGGCCATCTAGTCCAAACCCCTTTCTGTCAAGCAGGAATACAGAATTATTATTATTATTATTATTATTATTATTATTATTATCATCATCATCATCAGCAGCAGCAAGGAGCTGGGAGAGACCTTAAGAGGCTACTGTTGTTGTTATTATTGTTGTTCTTATTGCCAAGCAGGAATACAGAATTATTATTATTATTATTATTATTATTATTATCAGCAGCAGCAGCAGCAGCAAGGAGCTGGGAGAGACCTTAAGAGGCTACTGTTGTTGTTATTATTGTTGTTCTTATTGCCAAGCAGGAATACAGAATTATTATTATTATTATTATTATTATTATTATTATTATCATCAGCAGCAGCAAGGAGCTGGGAGAGACCTTAAGAGGCTACTGTTGTTGTTATTATTGTTGTTCTTATTGCCAAGCAGGAATACAGAATTATTATTATTATTATTATTATTATTATTATCAGCAGCAGCAGCAGCAGCAAGGAGCTGGGAGAGACCTTAAGAGGCTACTGTTGTCATTACTGTTGTTCTTATTGCCAAGCAGGAATACAGAATTATTATCTTCTATTATAATCATCATCATCATCATCATCACCACCATCACCTCGAGGCCATCCAATCAAACCCCTTTCTGCCAAGCAGGAATACATTATTATTATTATTATTATTAATAATAATAATAATAATTATTATTATTATTATTAGCAGCAGCAGCAGCAAGGAGCTGGGAGAGACCTTAAGAGGCTACTGTTGTCATTACTGTTGTTCTTATTGCCAAGCAGGAATACAGAATTATTATCTTCTATTATAATCATCATCATCACCATCACCACCATCACCTCGAGGCCATCCAATCAAACCCCTTTCTGCCAAGCAGGAATACATAATTATTATTATCTTCCATCATCATCATCATCATCATCATCATCATCATCATCATCATCATCATCATCATCATCATCTTCTTCTTCAAGAGACCATCCAGTCCAACCCCCTTTCTGCCAATAATACAGAATTATTATTATCTATTATCTCTTATTGTCATTATTATCAGACAAGGAGTTGGAAGAGACCCCAAGAGGCCATTCAGTCCCACCCCGTGCCTGCTTGAGAGCTCCAAGTAGTACCTCTCCTTCCAAGTCCTTGACGGGCGTGCGGCAGACTTCCCTCTTGTCTTCTTCTTCCTCCTCCTCCTCCTCTTCTTCGTCTTCCTCCTCCTCCTCCTTGTGCTCCTCTTTGGGGTGCCCGGCCCTCTTGTGTCCCTGTGCCTTGGGCAATCGCCCTGATCCATTGCGGTGCGCGGCCCCTCCGGGGTCCTGCCCAGCCTGGGGCTCCTTGGCCTCCTGCAAGCGGGCGGACGACTTCTTGGCGGTAGGGGGAGAGGAGGGCTTCTCCTGGGAGCGGCGCTTCTTGCCGGCGGACGACGCTGTCCCTTTGGCGCGAGAGCCTTTCCTCTTCCCGGGGGCGGCCGCGCTCTGCTCAAAGAGAGAAACAAAACCCCATCAGCAAACTAAAGAAGTCTTTGGATCCAAGTCAACTCTAGTACGGGTCTGGGAATCGCAATAGATCCTAGGCTGCATCCATTGGACTCTAGATGGAGGAAAGTAATATAGTCACAGATTGATACTGGCAAGATATATTATGAACCAAAAGTGTGATGCAGCCACTCAAAAAGCCAATGCAATCTTAGGCTGCACCTATAACAATATAGTGTCCAGATATGAAAGAGAGATAGGAGTCTTGTTAGGGCATAACCTAAACATGGGCCAAGAGTGTGACACAGCAGCAAACAAAGCCAATGCAATCCTAGGCTGCATCATTGGAATCTAGTGTCTAGGGAAGTCATTATACACACACACACACATATATGTATGTATATGTGTGCGTATGTATCTAGAATATATAAATGCAATGTTTGTTTGTGGCATTAACATAACTCAAAAACCACTGGACGAATTGACACCAAATTTGGACACAAGACATCTATCAAGCCAACAAGTGACCATCACTCATGAAAACACTGAGAAACACAGCAGAAGGGACATAAAAAGCAAAAAAATAAAAAACTACATTACAACGCATGCCAAAACCACATATATACACAAACACACATATATGCATATATATACACACAAAACACATATACACAGACTGGGCCACAGCAACGTGTGGCAGGGGATGGCTAGTATCTATATATATAAATTTGTTAGGGGCATCCAACGAGGAAACTCAAAAATCCCCCAACGAAACTTAACCAAAATTCCCATGCCCATAACACAACCCACAAGGTACAAACATATCTACTCAAAATGAAAAACAACACAACAACACACTCACAAAACGGCAAAAGGATAAAACTCTAAAAAAACCAACGAAACTTAACCAAAATTCCCATGCTCATAACACAACCCACAAGGTACAAACATATTACTCAAAATAAAAAACAACACAACAACACACTCAAAACGGCAAAAAAACAAAACTCAAAAAAACCCCAACGAAACTTAACCAAAATTCCCATGCCCATAACACAACCCACAAGGTACAAACGTATCTACTCAAAATGAAAAACAACACAACAACACACTCACAAAACGGCAAAACAACTGAGCATGCGCATTGGCGCCCAGCCGCAAGTTCCCTGGCGCGCGCACATGCCCTTCCGGCCAACGTTCCCTCTGCGGAAACCATGCCCACTCCAAGCCCCGCCGCGCCGCTTCCCGCACACACACACACCCCTGCCGCACATACACACACAACCCCACACTCCATCACTCCCCCCGCCGCCGCACACACACACGCAACCCCACACTCCATCACTTCCCCCGCCCCCCCCCACACCCCCCCCCGCCGCACACACACACACAACCCCACGCTCCATCACTCCCCCCCGCCGCCGCACACACACACAAAACCCCACGCTCCATCACTCCCCTGCCCCAATCTTACCTCCTTTTACTTCACGCCACCTCCAAACCCCCCCCGCCCCTTCCCGCCCTGTCAAAATCAGGAAAGAAGGAAGGAAGGAAAGAAGGAAGAAAGAGAAAGGGGAAAGAAAAAGGGGGAAGGAAGGAAAGTAGAGAAAGAAGGAAGAAGAAAAGAAGAAAAGGAAAGATGGAAGGAAAGAAAGAGAGACAGCAGAAGAGAAAGAAAAAGGGGGAAGGAAGAAAGAGATAGAGAAAGAAGAGGAGAAGAAAGAGGAGGGAACGGAAGGAAAGGAAGGAAGGAGGGAAAGAAGGAAAGAAAGAGGGAAGGTTGGCCACAGCAACACGTGGCGGGTAAAGGTTGTTATTTCTATTATTATTATTATGCTATTATTCCTATGAGACCCTGGGGAATGGGAGAGGTGTCAGGTCCCAGAGGCAATGCATTGCATTATTGTTATTGTTATGATGGTGGTAAAATAAAAGGAAATAAAAAGTGAAAGAAGGAAGCAAACAGGGAGGGAAGAAAGGCAAAGGAAGAAAGGGGGAGGGAATGAAGGAAAGAGAGGATGAAACCAAGTAGTGAAAGAAGGAAAGAAAGAAAGAAGTAGAGAAGGAAGAAAGGAGAGAAAGGGGGAGGAAAAGGGGGAAGGAATAGGTAGGGACCTCTCTTTCATAATAGTCCAGATATCTACCTCAACTTTGATAAGTTTTACTATAGGCCACAGCAACGCGTGGCAGGGCACAGCTAGTATACATATATTTGTGTTTATGTATATCTATCATTTGTGGGACTCACATAACTCAAAAACCACTGGACGAATTGACACAAAATTTGGACTCAAAACATCTATCAGGCCAACAAGTGACAATCATTCATAAAAACACAGCAGAAAGTACTTAAAAAACGAAAAAACCCAAAAGACTTTATCGCGCATGCGCACAAACGACTCCCCTAGCCCCCCCCCCCTCCTGCGTGAGGGAAAAAAAACTAAACAGCTGCAGGGAGAATGGAAGGCTTCGGTGGCTGGGGCAGGCAGACCCTTAGCTTCACCTACTACTACTACTAAGCAGAGGCCCTTTGGGGGTCTCTTCCAACTCTAGCATATTATTATTATTATTATTATTATTATTATTGACACAAAAGCACAGTATGTCACAGCAAATGAGATCTATATGCTGGATTTCGTATCACAAAATCACAAGTTGAACAATTCCCAAGTGTCTAGGACTGTGTAATATATTTTTATTATTATTATTACTATTATTAAGCAGAGGCCCTTTGGAGGTCTCTTCCAATTCTAGCATATTATTATTATTATTATTATTATTATTATTATTATTATTATTAAGCAGAGGCCCTTTGGGGGTCTCTTCCAACTCTAGTATATTATTATTATTATTATTATTATTATTACTACTACTACTACTACTACTACTATTATTAAGCAGAGGCCCTTTGGGGGTCTCTTCCAACTCTAGCATATTATTACTATTACTATTATTACTATTATTATTATTATTATTTTTACTATTACTATTATTAAGCAGAGGCCCTTTGGAGGTCTCTTCCAATTCTAGCATATTATTATTATTATTATTATTATTATTATTAAGCAGAGGCCTTTTGGGGGTCTCTTCTAAGTATGATTCTATTATTATTATTATTATTATTAATAATAATAATAATACCCCGCTTTTGTCTCCAGGAAGAAGATTCATAAACGAAGACCCAGTGGGCAAAACACATATTAAATGGAATACGCTGTTCAATCAAACACTTCCTCTTGCAGAGGTCTGACCTTAGTGGGGACTTTGTTTACAATCTCTTCAATGTGTTTACTTTCTTCTTCTTTTCTATCTTCTTCTTCCTCCTCTTCCTCCTCCTCTTCTTCCTCCTCCTCCTTTTTTTCCTTCTCCTCCTCCTCTTCTTCTTCCTCTGCTTCTTCCTCCATCCCTTCTTCCACGTCAGAAGCCGACTTACTTTCCTGATTGATGAGCGAATTCAAGAATTCCTCTGCAATCATTTTCACCTAAAAGGAAAAAAAGAGAGCCTGGTCAAGTCAAGTAAGAAGGTAGGTGTAGGAAAGATAGAAACGGCTAGCAAGCAATGTTACATTTGCAAATCTATCCTATGAAATCTGCCACCCAATGTAAAGAACAGGGAAGGGTTGGAATAGGACGGCTTTCGGAATTCAACTCGGGTAGTTTGGCTCTCTTCCGAGCGATCGGTATCGCGAGACACAAAGTGATCGCCCGCCTTGGGGATCAAGGAAGGCTGAGCCTTGTGAATGGAGATGCTGCGTGCGACTGATATGTGTGTGTATGCACGTGTATATGTACACGCACGCACACGGGTTGAATGAAAAGTAATGCCTCCACCTTCGTAACTCAACAGATGGCAGTACTGGTATGCGGCAGGTACTGGCTTGTGCAGTAGACTCTACAGTTTCATTTGGGTGGGAAGTCTTAGCACTGAACAGTTGTGTTGTTAAAATGCGAAGTATGGAACCCCGCGCAGATGGTCGGTCAATGCGACTTAAGCAACGTGCAGTCATTGAATTCTTGAGTGCAGAAGGTGTCACCCCAAAGAGGATTCATCAGAGAATGCTTATGGTGATTGTGTTGATGTGAGGCTGTGCGTTGTTGGGCGAGTAAGTTTAAAGATGTTGAGGTGACACCTTCTGCTGTCAGGAATTCAATGACTGCACGTTGCTTAAGTCGCATTGACCGACCGTCTGCGCAGGGTTCCATACTTTGCACCTTAACAACACAACTGTTCAATGCTAAGGCTTCCCGCCAAAATTGAACTGTAGAGGAGAGTCTACTGAACAAGCCAGTACCTGCCGCATACCAGTACTACCATCTGTTGAGGAGTTACGAAAGTGGAGGCATTACTTTTCATTCAACCCTCGTGTATACACACACAACTACAGCTGCAGAGTGTTGGAATTCAACCCCACACTGCCCAACTCTCAAGTCCTCAATGAGGAACAGTTAGTTTAGTATAGAGTAAGGGTTTCCCATCTCCCATGACTCCTGAATGACAGTTGGGAATGTATCTTTGTATGGAGAGTATGTGCTTTGAGATCTCTCTCTGCTTGTGTGTCAGGAGAGATGTTGTGATTGGTGTTCTTTCCCTCTCTTGAAACCTTAGAAGAGATGAGTGTTAGAGTAGCTCAGACCCAGTTCTTGTTATTGTTTATTATTGTAAATAAACCTTTTGTGATTTTTTTAAAGATTGGTTTCTGCATCTTTGCCTGCCTAAGCTCTGAATTCTTTGCAGCCACATCACACGGCACTTCACGCTCTGCTCGCTAACTTTTAGTATCCTGTTTGTATTTTGGATGCTCTGCTTATCATTTAGGGTAGCTTTCTCTAACACAGAGGACAAAACAACGGCTGTGCTTACCCGCCATCGGGTGAAGTCGCTGAGGGAACTTGGTCCGTAGGCTACGTGGGCTTGTGCAGACCGGATGAACTTTTTCCTGATCGATTTCAACTGCTCAGGAGACAAGGTTTTGGGCAACTGGCTCCGAAAGTTTTTCCCCCAGTGAGCAGAGACCTAAACAGAGAAAGAAGCTTGTTTCAACTTGAACACTACCTTCTCGGTGGTGGCCCCTCGGCTGTGGAACACCCTTCCTATAGATATTAGATCGGCCACCTCCCTTTTAACATCCCGGAAAAAAGTCAAGACGTAGCTTTTTGAACAAGCCTTTGCAAATGCAGAGTAACTGACATAGGAAAATGGAACAACTAGACAATGAGTCTAGACAACGTTTTAAACAAGGAGACACTATGAATTTATATTTTATTGATTTTTTTAGTTTTTATTATATATATAGGTTGCTTACCTGTAACCGTAGTTTCCCGAGTGGTCACCTGTGAATTCGCACTGCAGTTTGAAGCAACCACAGGTAGTCCATGTCAAAAAACAAGGCAGTCCAATACGCTAGTCAAAGAGAAGGTTCTTTTGCTGCTGACAGAGCAGCGGATCGAAAGAACTGAGGCGGAGGCCCGCCCACTTGCTACTTATACTCACAAGGGGAGAGTGGGTGGGGCCAACCGCCAAAGTTTTCAAATGTATCTAGAAGGTTCCGAAGCTGTCTGCTCAGGCGCAGAAACTACCATATGTGCAATTCACAGTTGACCACGATGGGAAAATTATGTTTTTAATTGTATCTATGACATTGTAAGCATTGAATTTTGACCTGTTAACCGCCTTGAGTCGCCTATGGGCCGAGAAAGGCGGTATACAAATACAGTAAATCTATATAAATAAAAATGTAATGTTAGTTTGTGGAATTAACATAACTCAAAAACCACTGGACGAATTGACATCAAATTTGGACACAACACACCTAACAACCCAATGTATGTCCTTCACTCCAAAAAATTGATTTTGTCATTTGGGAGTTGTAGTTGCTGGGATTTATAGTTCACCTACAATCACAGAGCATTCTGAACCCCACCAATGATAGAATTGGGCCAAACCTCCCACACAGAACCCCCATGTGGGCCACAGCAACGCGTGGCAGGGGACGGCTAATAAATAAATAAAACTGCGGGGTGGGGAACAACCAAGCAATGCACACAAGAGCAACCTCCTGTGCTGAACTGCCATGTATACAATACACAGCCTATATGGGCATACACCAACAAAATCGCAACACAATCCTATACAATAGCGTGCAATTATTTTGCTAGTCGTCGTAAGTTGGATAAAATTAGTTAAATTTGTATTTATGATATGATATCCGGCGCGCACGCCAAAAACTTAAGAATAGAAACTCACCCAATACTTTTTTGTTTGCCTTTTATAAATCTTGGAAGCCTCCCAAACTCAGTTTCATGTTCAGCGCAAGGAAGCAAAGCAAAGCCTAAAGGCTGCCGTTCCTCTAAATCAGTGGTTCTCAAGCTGTGGGTCTCCAGGTGTTTGGACCTACAACTCCCAGAAATCCCAGCCAGTTTACCAGCTGCTAGGATTTCTGAGAGTTGAAGGGAAAACATCTGGAAACCCACAGGTTGAGAACTAATGCTCGAAAGGAATTGCCTCTCACCACAAGGAGAGGGAAGCAGCAGGGAGAAAGCAGAGTTTGCTGGGAAAGAGACCAACCCTAGCAAGGCCGTAGCCAGAAAAAAAATTCGGGGAGGGTTGAAACTTTTTTTTTTAGCAAATCATGAAGAGTAGTTCGATAACACAACAACAACATTTTTAATACAGCCCAAAGACCCTTATCGCACCGTAAAAGGTGTAAGATACAAGGTATGCAAGGTTAGTAAGGCCAAAAATAGCCAAAACTGATTAAAACATACGATGTGGGTGGAATTAACAGCAGATAAAACTGATAAAACAAGGATTAAAACTTATAACCAGCATTTAAGATAGCAATGACCTAGGTAAAAGACTACAAAGGGTATCAGGCATGTTTCATTGTGCCATAACATAAAATACTTTAAATTATATGGTTTCAAGTATATTTTATATAGACTTCATTAAATCAAATTTCTATTTTAGTTAAAGTTTCAAGTCTTAAAATAACTGAAAATGATTGCTAATCGATAATTTAGTTACAAAAGAATACCACAACGTTTGTTAGAAACACTTGAAAACTGTGTCAATACACTTTGACAGAAATCAGGCTCTATTGATAAACTTCGGTGGATACTCAAGAGTGCAAGTCCAGTCAGTCTTTCTTGCCTCATTGTGTTTCTTGTGTATGTTTTCAAACGTTTAAGGGTTGAAAACAACATTTCATTTGTAGCTCTTGACACTGGCAATGTTGCAGAATTCAGACAGGTTATATCTGTAGCAAATACCAAGGTATCGAAAAGTATTTGACTTGTTCCACTTTGTAGTCCCTGATGGATCTGCCAAAACACTTTTTAACTGCCATGTATAAACATGCCCGCATGCCGCAGATTGTTATTTGTTGGGATGATTGGCCGCACTCCCAACCCAGGCAAACTCACCCTCGTCGTCAGCTCTCGGCTATTGATCACTCTCACGTGATTGGCTAACTTGGTGATGTCCTTGCCATTCAGTTGCCGGAGGTTTCGCAGGAGAAACATGACTTTGTAGTCATCGCTGGGCTGGAGAAAGAATCCAAAAAGAAAAGAAAGCATTTCCTTTTTTTTCAAGTTTAACTTTTTGTATACAAGTAAACAAATAAACAAACAAACCCCAGAGAACATATAATAGAATAACTAACAGGGATAGTAATTACATCAGCTTATCAAACCCATTCCCTCCTCCACACCTGTGACTCTATGACTACAAAAATATTACATTTTTATTTATCTAGATAATAATAGAATAATACAATAAAATAATGACAATAATAATAATTGGGTTGTTGTAGGTTTTTTCGGGCTATATGGCCATGTTCTAGAGGCATTTTCTCCTGACGTTTTGCCTGCATCTATGGCAAGCAACCTACAATAACCCAGTGATTCTGGCCATAAAAACCTTCAACAATACATTAATAATAATAATAATAATAATAATAATAACAACAACAACAACAGCACTATGTAACATGATTTTTGTTCCTGGGTTATAAATGTCATTTGCTAATTGGGTCTATCATAAAAACATGGGGAAAATGTATTAAACTGCCAAAACTTTTGTCTTTGCGGGAGGAACATCCTGTTATAGCACATTTTGTTCTAGTTTTGTGATATCAGCCAGCATGTCAATACTTTAAATCAAGGAATAATTTCCTAAGATCTACAGAGATACTTGCAGGAACACCTCAGCAAATGGGAGTCCAAAAGTGGCAGGCTCAAACCTGAAACCATGGCTGGTACCAAATGAGAGACTCCCTTCTGGGTACACAGAAGGCAAGCGACCTGAACAGGCTGCGCTCTGGCACTACAGAGCAAACCTTAAGAAATGGGGCCACAAAGTGGAGTCCACAACATGCGAAAATGGAGAAGAGCAAACCACAGGCACTGACTACAATGCGGTCTGAGCCCTGCCACATGCCACACCAGAAGCACTCCAAGTGGCCAGCTACTGGTGAAAGGTCATTTAGTATAATGCCAAGTTTGAAGAGTTGTGATGATGCAAGGAACGGTTTGCAAGCAGCGGTCAAGCCTACTCACAGTCAGGTAGACGTTGTTCTCATAGGTCAGCTCCTCCAGCTGTGGAAACTGCTGCAAAGAGACCACATCCTCCAGGTGGTTGCTGTCGCAGTTCAAGACGCGAAGGTTCGGCAGGCTGAGATTGTCGGGGAGTCGCTCCAGCAGGTTGTCGGAGAGGTCCAGCTCTTGGAGGTGCCGGAGGTGAGAAAACAACTGTGGCTCCAGGTCATCCTTCGTGATCTGTAGCTTGGACAAGCTTGGGAAGCAAAGAGGGACACGGCTTCATCATGCTGCTGAGAAACATAACCCTAAACACGCGTTGTGGCATTTTGTGCTCGGCGAGATACCCCAAGGAGGTAAGAGATGGAAGGGGAAAGCGCAGGAAGGAGAACAGGAAAACAGGATTGTTTTGGAACAGAAACAGAATGGAGGGATAGAGTTGGTAGGCAGAAGAGAAGGGATGGGGGAAATGTTTGGTGTGTGCATGTTTACTTCCTGCGCCTCCTCCTGATTGGCTGAGAAATGGGGCTGGCTAGGATCCATGCAGGGATTGGCTGGAAGTTCCTCTGATGTCACAGACAGGAGAAAGGGATCCCCACGAAAAACAGCTGATATTGGAAGGTTTAAAGATCCAATCTGGGAGCGAAACCGAGGAAGAGATGACATGGGTATGCTGATGACTTCTTGATTAAGTTTTCAGTCCTGTGAACTTTTGTGTGCGTGCATGTTTTCTCTGGTCAACATCCCATATAGACTACTGCAATGCTCTCCATGTGGGGTTGCCTTTGAAGACTGTTCGGCAGCAGGAGCGGTGCTCAAAGAGCACACAACTCCTCTGCTGCACCAACTCCACTGGCTAACAGCCTGCTACTGGGCATAATTCAAAGTGCTGGCTTTAGCCTATAAAGCCCTAAATGGTTCCGGCCCAGCTTAGCCYTCCGAACGTATCTCTCCTTACGAACCAKCTGAGACTCTAAGATCATCTGGGGAGGCCCTGTTCTCAGTCCTGCCTCCTTCACAGATTTGGTTGGCYGGGACGAGGCACAGGGCCTTCTCAGTGGTGGCCCCTTGGCTGTGGAATGCCCTTTCTATTTATTTATTTCGYGTATTTTTACCCTGCCCTTCTCAACCCCCTAGGGGGGAKTCAGGGCGGCTTCCAGCCGGCACATATTCAATGCCTACAATTAAACACAATAAAATACGTAACAAAACAGTAATTATAAATCATTAAACATTGAGTTAATACAATAAAATCTACTAGAAAAGAGCCAGCCTTGGATAACAGATTGGCCCGCACCCTCCTAACATTTCGCAAAAAAAGTTAAAACCTGGCTTTTAGAGAAAGCATCTACAAACACAGACATACTTTGATCTACGGAACGATTGGACAATGCGATTGGATAATCATTTTAGTAATGAGACGCTGAGGATTTATTTTTTATTGGTTTTTACTGTTTTGTGTAATGTTATTWATGCTAATTGTTTTTCATTGCTTTTTATGTTGGGAGGGCATCAAATTATGCCATTTGTGAARCGCCCTGAGTCGCCTTCGGGCTGAGAACAATACAGCAATATAACAGCAGTTTAAAACAATAAATAAATCATTAAATGAAAAACAATTAAAAATATTTGTCAASCATATAGCCATTCCAGTCCAATCCCATATCCAAAGTGCTATTATGCCTGCTGTCCAAAAGCCTGGTCCCAGAACCATGATTTTAGTTTCTTTCTGAAAGACAGGAGGGATGAAACTGACCTAATCTTCCTGGGAAGCAAGTTCCACTGGCAGGGGGCCATCACCGAGAAGGCCCTGTCTCTCATCCCCGCCAAACACTTTTGCGAAGCTGGCGGGACCGAGAGCAGGTCCTCCCTGGACGATCTTAAACTGTGAGGCGGGATGTAGAGGGAGATACATTCAGACAAGTAAGCTGGGCCGGAACTGTATAGGGTTTTATAGGCTAAGGTCAGCACTGAATTCTGCTCAGAAGTGGACTGGCAGCCAGTGGAGCTGACACAACAGGGTATGCTCCCTGTATGTTGCTCCAGTTAGTAATCTCGCTGCTGCCTGTTGGACTAGATGAAGTTTCCAAACAGTCTTCAAAGGCAACCCCACGTAAAGTGTGTTGCAGTAATCTTGAATATTGAGCATTCGTGCCAAGTTTGGTCCAGATCCATCATTATTTGAGTCCGCAGTGCTCTCTGGATGTAGGTGAACCACAATTCCCAAACTCAAGGTCACTGCCCACCAAACCCTTCCAGTATTTTCTGTTGATCATGAGGGTTCTGTGTGCCAAGTTTGGTTCAATTCCATCATTAGTGGAGTACAGAATTTTATTTGATTGTAGGTTCACTATAAATCCAAGCAGCTACAACTCCCAAATGACAATATCAATCACACACACACACACATATACCCCACAAACCCCACCAGTATTCAGATTTGGGCATATTGGGTTCTGTGTGGGAAGTTTGGCCTCATTCTATCGTTGGTGGGGTTCAGAATGCTCTTTGATCGTAGGTGAACTATAAATCCCAGCAACTACAACTCCCAAAAGACAAAATCAACCCTTCCACTAACTTCACCAATATTCAAATTGGGGTGTATTGGGTATCTGTGCCAAATTTGGTCCAGTGAATGAAAATACATCCTGCATATCAGGTATTTACATTATGATTCATAACAGTAGTAAAATTACAGTTATGAAGTAGCAATGACAAAAAAAATTAGGGCTGGGGGTCACCACAAGATGATTACGGGGGTTGAGAACCACTGCTTTAACCCCTTCTCACTTTGTGAAATTCACTTTACACATTTTCCGGTCCTGACACTCAGATGGTAGAGGTCAAGAGGCCACTTTTGTCCCCCAGGAAGCCATGGAGGACTACGTCTCCCACACTGTATCCTCTAAAAAAGGGAGGGAAAAGCCCAAATCTTCTCTATTGGGTCTTAGGAGGAGTCTCATTATGTTTTGAGGAAGAGGGTGCTCGACGAAAAAGAAGTCCAATGGGGCTCTTGCTGAGTCAGACAGAGCACACTTTCAAACTGTATGCCCTGAGCCATACATCCACTCGCAGCCAAGGCTTGGAAACAGATTCCAATTTTTCCAGATTATTACAGGTTGGAGAGAAAGTTACTTCTGAGCATTACACACACGAAAAAGCATTGCTAATACCCCCAGACGACAAGCCCTCCTCCTGGCCCCTTCCTACTTTGTTTACATTTTCCCAGAGCTCAAAGTCCACCGATCTACACCAGACCCCTGCACCACCATCACCCTTCAATTGTTATGGCTCCAGCTCTTTTCTCAGCCTTGATTACTTTACAACTTGTTGTAAATTAACACCTGTGGCATGGATTCCTCTGAAGTCATTCCTTTGAAGGTTCAGAGGGGCCCATAACACTGAATCAAACCATAAAAGTAGAGCTTTTTTGGTACCTTCTTAATTATTTACAACGCAAGGACTGGAAACAAAAAAAATAAAATAAGGCGGTGAAGAAAGTGAAAATGCTTGCTCAACTTCGCCGCTCCATGACAGTTTTCCTGACATCATGCCCTAATGTCGTAATCAAGGTTTATCAATGTTTATTTTATCTCCGCTGAGTAAACTTCAACAGCTTAGCAAAATGGTTACACTACGTAACACTTTGATTTTTGTTCCTGGGTTATCAATGTCATTTCCTAATTGGTTCGATCACAAAAACATAGGAGAAGTGTATTAAACGGTGGGAGAGACATCCTGCTATAGCACATTTGGAATATCTCAACAAGTCTTAACCAATTCAACCTACTGTATATACTCGAGTATAAGCCTAGTTTTTCAGTCCTTTTTTAAGGCTGAAAAAGCCCCCCTCGGCTTATACTCGAGTCAAGGTTATTTATTATTTTATTCTGTTATTATTATTATTATTATTAGATTTATTATTTTACTTTATCCCTTATTACTATTATTATTAGGAGCCCCCAGTGGCACAGTGGGTTAAGCCCCTGTGCCAGCAGGACTGAAGACCGATAGGTCGCAGGTTCGAATCCGGGGAGAGGTGGAAGAGCTCCCTCTATCAGCTCCAGCTCCCCATGCAGGGACATGAGAGAAGCCTCCCACAAGGATGATAAAGATATCAATTCATCCGGGCGTCCCCTGGGCAACGTCCTTGCAGACGGCCAATTCTCTCACACCAGAAGCAACTTGCAGTTTCTCAAGTCACTCCTGACACGACAAAAATATTATTATTATTATTATTATTGCATTTCCATTATTTTACTTTATGAATTTTGTTATTATTACATGTATTATTTTACTCCATTTATTATTGTTATGGTTACATTTATAATTTTACACTATCATTACTGTTATTATTACATTTCCATTATTTTACTCTATTATTATATTTATCATTTTGCTCTATTTTTATGATTACATTTATCATTTTACACTATTATTCCTGTTATTATTACATTTCCATTATTTTACTCTATTATTGTTATTATTACATTTTGTTCTATTTTTATTATTACATTTATCATTTTACACTATTATTCCTATTATTACATTTCCATTATTTTACTCTATTATTATTATTACATTTATTATTTTAGTCTATTATTATTGGAAAAATACGTCAGTATATTTACATTGAAGAAGGTTAGAATAATGGTTTAATCAGAGTTGGGCAGTCTTATCTTAAATTACAGCTTTATGTAAACATTAAAAAAAATAACCTACTGATGCCTCAATTAATGCATTTGAATTGGTATCTATTTCTCATATTTTGAAATTGATCAGTAGCTGCTGCATTTCCCACCCTTGGCTTATACTCGAGTCAATACGTTTTCACAGTTTTTTTTGGTGGTAAAATTAGGTGCCTCGGCTTATATTCGAGTCGGCTTATTTATTTACTTTATTTGTATACCGCTCTTCTCAGCCCTTAGGCGACTCAGAGTATATACGATAGTTTGTGGCAGCCACAAGTTTCCGGAGTAGGACAACTCCTTTCAAAGTCAGGACCGCACAATGAAACAGGAAACAACACTTTCAAACGAGGAACAGAAACCTGTTCAAAATTTGTGACATAGTGTTATTAAGCAAGCCGAGTTCCCCTTTTCTCCAAAAATCAACGGAAATCTCTAGAGTATTCAAGACATGAGCCTGCACTTACTTGAGAGTTTTGATCTTTCGCAGCCTTGTCGACTTGGGCACGGCTCTTTCCAACAGAAGTTCTGTTGTTATTTTGGTCATTTTTAATATCTCTTCACTCTCTCCTCTTTCAGGAGATGTCTTCGTGGAACCTTCCTGGGAAAAAAAAAAAGGGGGGGGGGGAGATCAGCCATGCAATCCCTCCTACGAATTCAATGAGAGTAACTCTCATGTAAATGGAAGACGAGCATGCAATCACATTGAGAGGAGCTAGAGCGTTGTTCCTTCTTGTAAATTTCAATATCAAAATCACACTACAGGACCTAGATATTCCTAGAAAGAACATGTTAAACTAAACCTGTGAAAAATCAAATTTGCAAAACTGCAAAGGCAGATGAGGGGCTGTACAGCAGGGGGAAAAAGGTAAGAGTGAATCTGCTCCTGGTCTTGTTTTTGCAGACAGTCTTCGGCTGCCAATTCTCCCTGCAAAAACAAGACCAGGAGCAGATTGTGATGGAAGAACCTAAACTACTACTGCTACTACAGTTATGCAATTCCACCTACGAATTCAATGGGAGTAACTCTTGCGTAATTGGAAGCTGAGCATGCAATTGCGTTTGGAGGAGCTAGAGCCACATTTCTCAACCTGCAGGTTGAAATTCCTGGGGGGGGGGGTTTGCGAGGGGGCTTCAGAGGGATCGCCAAAGACCATCAGAAAACATATATTTCTGGTGGCCTTAGGAACCCTTTTGGCAGAGAAGGCTGAAGATCTTTCTGTCTGTCCTTCCCTTCTTATTAAAAACAGAAAGCAAATCCTGCCCCCAAAACCCCTCCTCACAGCTCTAGCTCTCCTCCTCTTCCATGGACAACATCATCCGCATTTGGGACCTGACCTCCAGCCAATGCATTGCCCAGTTGGAGAGCCATTACAGCCCAGTTACCCCGCTGGCCTTTTCTCCCAACTATGACACACTCAATCCTCTGTGATTGACTGGCCTCTCAGCCAAGGGGAGGGCTGTTTCTGCGAATCCAAGCATTTAGAAGAGGGCAGGCGTGCTTGACACATGGCAGCGTGGTGCGCATATGTGGGCAAGGGACAGTATGTGAGGCTGGAAAGAGCCTCGCTCCAGCTAGTCCCTTCAAGTTCTGTGTGGGAAGTTTGGCTCAATTCTATCGTTTGTGGGGTTCAGAATGCTCTTTTGATTGTAGATGAACTATAAATCCCAACAACAACTGCTAAATGTCAAGGTCTATTTTCCCCAAATCCCATCAGTGTTCACATTTGCGCATATTGAGTATTCGTGCCAAGTTTGGTCCAGTGAATGAAAATGCATCCTGCATATCAGATATTTACAATTCATAACAGTAGCAAAATTAGAGTTACGAAGTAGCAACAAAAATAATTTCATGGTTGGGGATCACCACAACGTGAGAAAGTATATTAAGGGGTTGCGGCACTGGGAAAGTTGAGAAACACTGAGCTAGAGGGTTGATTCCTTCTGTAAATTTCAAGATCAAAATCACACTACAGGACCTAGAGATTCCTAGAATGAACATATTAAATCAAACCTGTGAAGAATCAAATTTGCAAAACCACAAAGGCAAATGAATGGCTATACATAAGAAACAGCAGGGGGGAAAAGACAAGAGAGTATCTGCTCCTGGTCTTGTTTTTGCAGAGAGTCTTCGGCTGCCACTTCTCCCTACAAAAACAAGACCAGGAGCCGATTGTGACGCAAGATCCTAAACTATTATTACTACTTATGTCTGCAATTAAAGAACTCTAAAATCAATCTCATGCCAAAACATAAGCAAAATAACATCTTTATAGAATTTAACATTTGTATGAAAAATCCATTCGCGTCTGGACAACTGGGAGCCAGAGAAACTCTTGAAACAACACAAGGGGGAATGCAAAAAAAGGCAGCCAGATGTAAGGTGAGTTTCAGCCAAACAGCGAAGAACAGATGAGAGGGAACCAAGTGAACGATGATAAACCAAAGCAGAGAAATAAGATAACAAGACATTTAGCACAAGAGATCTATTCTGCAACTTTTCAAGAAAGCAAAAGGGAAATGTGAAACAAATGGGAGGGTTGCTAGAAGACACCTCAGGATCCGAAAGAAATAAAATCATGATGGGATCAAAACACATTGAAGAAAAATTAAAAGATGGCAGCTCCAACCAAGGGAATATCTATTTGAAGATGTAACCACAATTTCGAAAAACAAAGTTTGTAGCTGCAGTTAAATCACTTGGGTGTCATAAATAATCCGAAACAGGCAGCTTACAAACCAACAGAGAAAGAATAGACTCTCATTCTAACAAGAGAGAGTCACAGTTCAAAAGAGACACTCTTCTTTTTTCGTGAGGTGGGAACAGACATTTATTTCTTTTCCTCAACGACCAAACTTTCCTGTTGGAAGTCCAAATCAACATCTACTTCAGTGACAAATGTGTTTTGGATTCAGGCCGGGCTTTAGCAGAGTTGGTAAATCACCAGCAATGATAAGATTTACCAACCGAAAGGTTGCCAGTTCAAAGACCTGAGTCGGCATGAGCTCCAACTGTCAGCCCAGGTTACTGCTTACCTAAGCAGTTCTAAAACAGCTTGAGCTGTAAGTAGAGAAATTAGGTAGCGCTAAAACAAGGGGAGGTATTTTACGACACCATAAAGAAAAAGATCAGAAAATGTCCGGCGACCAAAAGGGAGGAGGAAGCCCTGATGGCTCTTTGACAAAAAGGATTAAGTGACAGTACCCCCCTGTGGCTGGATTTGAGCACAACCTTCCAAGGTGCCAAAAAGCTGGACATCGACACAACATACCTCCTTTCTGTTCTGTCTGTCTGTGTCCTGTCTATCCCAAACGGCATTGAATGTTTGCTGTGTATGTGTACTGTGATCCGCCCTGAGTCCCCTTGGGGAGATAGAGTGGAATGTAAAAAAGTGTTGTTATTATTATTATTATTAAGAGAACAAATATGTAAATGAATCTTTACTCAGACTTATTCTGGCAGATTTCCATCTTGTATCAGTTTTCTTTCCAATCAAAGAAAAGCAAGGTAAGATCGAATTACGAAGCTAAAATAAATGAATTATAACTCTTTGGCGAGGCCAGCCTTTGCCACCAAGTTTCCCAATGGGTTTAATTTTACAAAAAATATCTCTTTTCAAACTCCAGCTGCGTGAAATGATTTTTCAAAAAGTACTCAAAATAAATAAATAAATTTACTCCATTTGTCTCAAAGAGAATCATAATAACAACTATATGCTCAAGACAAGGATAAGATTTGTGTGTGTGTGTATATGATCTATAGTACATATCTAGATGATATATAAACATATAGATTATATATATATGATCTATCTACATATGCATACACTAACACACATATATGTATGTATGTGTGTATATATATTGGCCCAGGCCTGATAGACATACATTAATATTAATAATATATAATAAAATACTATTATTATTGTTATACAAATATAACATAGCATGTGTGTGAATATATAGAATATGTATAAAATATAGTTATATATAATAATATAAATAATCATATAATAATAAAATGAAATACAATTATTATTATTTAAATATAGCATGTGAGTATAGCAGGGCTTGCAAGACATATTTGTTTCGATAGGCTTTTGATCTTTGATATGTTGTTTACTTTGTGTTAGATTTTAGTTTGTTCTTGTAAGCCACTCCGAGCCCTAGGGGAGTGGCGGCATATAAGTTTGAAATATAAATAAATAAAATATAATGAAATACAATTTATATATATAGTGTATACAATATATAATATAATCATATAATAATATATAATATAATATATAATAAAATACAATTATTATTTAAATATAGCGTATGTGTATATAAAGTATAATATGTATATTAATATATGTAGTGTATACAATATATAATATATAATATATATAATAAAATACAATTATTATTTAAATATAGCATGTGTGTATATATAGTATATACAATATATAATATAATCCTATAATAATATATAATATATAAAAATACAATTACTATTTAAATATAGCATGTGTGTATATAAAATATAATGTGTATAATATTAATATATAGTGTATACAATATATAATAATATATAATATAGATAATAAAATACAAATATTATTTAAATATAGTGTATGTGTATATAAAATATAATATGTATAATATTAATAGATATTAATAGTGTAAACAATATATAACATACAATTATTATTATTTAACTATAGTGTATGTGTATGTAAAATATAATACGTATAGTATTAATATATATAGTGTATATAATACCTAATAATATAAATAATCATATAATATATAATAAATATAATAAAATATAATTATTTAAATATAGCATGTGTGTATAAATAAAATATAAAATGTCTAATATTAATATATATAGTGTATATAATATATATAAATAATCATATATATAATATGTAATAAAATATAATTATTATTTAAATATAGCATGTGTGTATATAAAATATATGTGTAATATTAATATGTTGTGTATACAATATATAATATAATCCTATAATATATAATATATAAAATTACAATTACTATTTAAGTATAGCATGTGTGTGTATATAAAATATAATATGTATAATATTTATATAGTGCATATAATATAATCATATAATACAGTGGTTCTCAACCTGGGGTCCCCAGATGTTTTTGGCCTTCAACTCCCAGAAATCCTAACAGCTGGTAAACTGGCTGGGATTTCTGGGAGTTGTAGGCCAAAAACATCTGGAGACCCCAGGTTGAGAACCACTGATATAATATGTATAATAAAATACAATTACTATTTAAATATAGCATGTGTGTATATATAAAAATAATAATATGTATAATATTAATATATATAGTGTACACAATATATAATATAATCCTATAATAATATAAAATACAATTACTATTTAAATATAGCATGTGTGTATATATAAAATATACTATGTATAATATTTATATGTATAGTGTATACAATATATAATATAATCCTATAATAATATATAATATATAAAATACAATTACTATTTAAATATAGCATGTGTGTATATAAATATAATATGTATAATATTAATATATATAGTGTAAACAATACATAATATACAATTATTATTATTTAACTATAGTGTATGTGTATGTAAAATATAATACGTATATTAATTTGCTCAGTTCTTTACAGACAAAGTCGCTTTGATCCGTTCTGGTCTGGATACCATGTTAATGGCAGTCTC